TGCCCTTACGGCAGGGACGGGGATTGCATGAGTTCAGGTACGATATACCTGATCTCGTGTAACAATTGCGGAGATGAATATATTGGCGAAACGGGCAGACCTTTGTGTATCCGTATAAAAGAACACCTAGATGGCAAACGAAAACTAAGACGAAGCACCCCACTAGGCACGCATAGGATACAAAAGCATAGCGGAGACGATTTTGAAGTGAAAGCCAATATCCTTGCACAGGAGTCCAAAACACCAGCGCGAAAACTCCTTGAGGCTTTTTGGATCAATGCCAAAAGCCCTACAATGAATAGCAGGGACGAATGCCCGGAGATCATACGCGACCTGATCTCGTACGTTCGCATCGATTTTTGATGTGGGATGGTGCAGTCGTCAACCACATGCGACTATAATCAGCTGTTCTAAACTTCCTCATTGGAAGTCACGGAAAAGCAGCTCTGAAGAAGGCGATACTGCCGAAACGTCAGCTCGCGTTGTATTGTATTGTGTTTTTATGGAAGTAAATGTATGCTGTTTAAAAACCTCGCGATTGCTGAGCAAGAAAACGACACATTTATAGAAAGTTTTCAAAAGTGGATGCTATGTATTTCCTATAAAACTACTTGAAAATGTTCCACTCCTCTTTTCTTCGAAGCATCATTGCTATTTCATCTATCTCGAATGTATGGTATTTATTGTGGAAACATTTCGAATGATTCTGGTTTATGACTATTTTTGGTGTTTCTAAGTATTAACAGTAGTGAATGGTTTTGAAAGAGTTCCGAGAAAACCTAGAAGAATGCGAGACATCAGAGCCGGCTGGATACAATGTGACGAAACAAAATAATTGAGATTACTTTGTTCTCACTTACAAAATTCGGTAGCTAGTAAAAAAGGAAAAACTCATCTGAATCATTGAATAAGTTTTTAGAATAAGAAATACTACTAGGAAAAAGTCGAAGAGGGAATCGTACTCGAATAGTGAGGTCATGAAGCCTACTATTTTTCTTTCTAGTAACTGAATCGCGTCTCATCAAGTTTTCATTGAATCAAATCAAAATGGCAAACGACGTTTACGATTGAGCTTATTTGGTTTGAAGTGGTATGCGAGGACGATAAAGATGTGGACATAATGGTTCTCTTGATGTTTGCCTTCTGATTGACATGCGTAGTTCGCCCTTGTCTCCACACTATTCTCCAACCTTAGGAAGACCACATATCAAACAGATCCGCCGATGTACTTGACCATACGACGATGTCGTTCTCGATGTTTGCTCTTGACCATTGTAACAGTAGACGAGTTGGACCGATTCACAAACGCGTCAATTGTCAACGCTTCTTTTATCACAACGTCGGTGGACGACGAACGGTGCCACCATCATGGAACGGAATAGTGGCGTAATGCATAGTTATTGGTTTTGTGAATAGGAGTATGGAAGTGCTTAGAGAAACCACTGCCATGCACATGGTCGTTGTTTAGACTCCGTGCCGCAATCTAAACAGACATCCTATACTTCCGCGGTTGGAAATTGGCATCGAGCTACTCTAGAGTGCAGAGAGTGAAATGCACTAACCTTGAACTTCGATCCATCACGGAAAGTCGCTGTGTAGGACAAATATGTACCCAGAAGGTAAATGATGTTACGAATTGAACAAGATGCATACCACTCAAGGATTGACCAGCCTCGAATGCATGATCTTGAGGAATTTTAAGGTCATTATAACTGCAGATACTTGTGAATCGAGATAATAACTGTCGTCTTCATTTTCTCAATTTCATTTTTCTTTGTGATTGAACTTCATCAAAAGGTTTGTAAAGTATATTCACGATCCAAAACCTCATGCAACAAACCATATGCGATCCACATTCGAACTATATTTAGACAAAATTTGGGTTACAAGGGAGCGTGTAGTGCAGTTGTCGGAGGCGCCTGCAACACACACGTGGAATCGATCCCCGCTCCCATGGCCCACCAAGCCTTCCATCCTTCCGGAGTCGGCAAATTGATATCAGACTTGTCTAGGAGAATAGCAGCAGTGGCTCGATACATCAGTAGGCCACAGCGAGTCATTGTAAAGGCCAAGATATGCATTCAGTCACCTTCAACTACACTTAATAAAGTCGAATACATGGCGCATCCGCCAGGGATTCATCAACGCCAAGAGCTTCATCCTTTTATCCTTTACATTTGAATTATATTTGAGTCATATACGATATTCGATGTAGCGGTCCACGCCATATGATACAGTGTTCCGTAGGAAATAAATTCGTTCAAAGCGTATCGTAACTGAATCTGTGCACGATGTCATACACAGGGTCATGTCGTCCTTCTTGTTTGTTCGAATAATGCAACACCGGCTGAACACGGATTTGTTGTCGTTCGAACGTAAAATCGTTGTTTGTTAAGCTGCTCAATGACGACGAGGAACTAAATGAATGACTACTCTAACAGAACGAACACTTATGATTGATGTTTTAATGTTACCAAGTTAATGGATTTTCTGATCGTTAGCTATTTAGTTGTACTCTATTAAGCCTTAAATTTCACTCGAATATTCAACCATATTCGCTTCTTTACCATCGAAAATTTAAATGGTTAAGTGAAGCAGCTGGTAGACACAATCCCCATTCCACAGCTTAGTACCCTCGAAAGAACAATGCAATTAAGCTTTTCGCACATTATGCTAAGTTGTTGGTGAATTTTGTTGGAATAATGGGCTAAGGTGGAATGCTATGATCTAGGGCAATCTGTTTTCAGGAATTCCATCATGAAGAGCTGTTCTAACGAAGATTTGCACTCAAGCCCTAATTATTAAGCTAAGATTTTGTCTCACGCGTGGCACTTGAAATACCATTCTCTACAATTAATAAATTACAAAAACTCTGCTAAGAAGAGATCATTATCGGGAAACTGGTTGGTAGTTCAATTATTTCACTCCAATGGCTTCTGTGAGCTATGGCTATTGCCACGATGTAGGGATTCGTCCTGACAACGAGTCAACCAATGAACAGATCAGCGATCGGGTGAAGTTTTTATACAAGAAGCATTTTGATCATTTACATTAAATGTGATCTGTTTTTTCGGCGGAAAATGTATCCTGAAGCAGTTGCGGCTCACGTGGCTATTGAATGGAATGAACGCACCAGGACGAACTACTTCCAAATATTGACAACAATCACAACGATGCTGAAATGGTGGCAAAACTTGGACCCCGCGCGGTAGATCGAACCACGATTACCGTTTCCACGTGCTCGCTTATTACACACTGTACCACAGAGGCCATTGCTTTGCGCTTCTCTCTGTAAGTTTTCTTGCTAACCCTGCCATCAGCCATGCACAAATCGGCATTGAACATTAGCTGAGAAAAGCGCAAAACAATGGCCTCCGTGGTTCAGTGTGTAATACGCGAGTCCTCGGAAGGGGTAACCATGGTTCAATCTGCTCCAAATTTTGCGTATATCTCAGCATCGTTGTGGTTTTATATCACATCATACCCTGCCACGAAAAATTATAGCATGCAGCAAATAGAAAAGGATAACATTGACAAAGGGCGCGTGTGGCACAGTGGTCGGAGGCGCCCTGCAACACACACATGGGTTCGATCTCGCGCTCCCATGGTCCACCAAGCTTTCCATCCTTCCGGGGTCGGCGGATTGATTCCAGACTTGTCTGGGAGAATAGCAGCACTGACTCGATACATCGATAGGCCACCGCGGGTCATGGACAGATATGCATTCAATCACCTCCAAAGATACGTAATGAAGTCGAATGCATGGCGCATCCATCAGGGATTGATCATTGCCGAGAGCTTTATCGTTTTAACATTAATAACAGTGCATGCATGATGGACTATGGAGAAATTATGAACAATTTTTGCGAAACTAGAAAGCATACAATTGACATGAAAGAAGATGGTGTTGTCTCACGCGGCGAGCGCCAAAATTTGAGCAACGGAGATTTTATGCTAAAAATAACATTGAAAACCGACTTTCATTTGACATCAGTATAAATAATCAATGTACGTTATTTCATTGATAAGCTAAGACAACGTTGTTACCACATATTTACGTAAAGCGTTTCAACGTCTTCATCTTCCTTAGAGTTAAAGTTCTTAGTTCCATTGTATGTTAAAGGTTACCGTGACTGCGTTGATGAATACAGTACCGCCCACTAAAGTTTAACGCGCGTATACATCATGCAATCATTAAAATCTCTATTACTTTATGAATAACTTGATAACCGTTCCATGATCGCCAGTGGTGTTCTTTTCGTTGTGCCCATCGCATGCTACGAAGCAAATCGACGTTTCCATGCGGATGAAGAAGAGCTAAGTGCAAACCACTTTGGAGAACAATGACTGGTTTGGAAAAACACTTGTCGAATTGCGGTAAATTTTGCCAAGTGTCGGATTACAACAGTGGCTGATTTTTAAAAGAACCGTGATAATTCAGACACTTTTCAACGTACTATAACACAATAAATAAGCCGCTAAGCTGCTAAACTACATCAAGAAACTAATTCTTTTCCCCTGAAACCTTTCAAGAAAAGAAAACGACTTTCCTGTCTTCATTAAGTGCTTAAAAAGTTGTTAAGTACAGTTTCCGCATGTGCCAAGGTATTATTCGTAGCATGGTAAAAACAAAGAGGAATGAATGATTTTAGCACAGTCATTATTTTTCACGAAAACAGATAAGCCCTTTTTGGTGAAAATAGATATCCCACACAGAAGATATTCTGGCAAAATGCTTTTTTGTTATTTAACTATAAGAAATAGGCGATATAAACTAAGTCAACTTTGTAAATAATCATGGGAATTTGGTTCATAAATGCCATCAAATCTCAGAAAATGTTCGCTTTTCTTCATTTCATTGTTGATGTTCCCGAATTTTACACTAGGTTTAAGAATGGCCGATAAAGTTAGATGTTCAATCCGCTTAATGTAAAAAGTAATCAGCCTCATTATAAGCTCATGATCCATTAAAAAATTCTTCACCCACTTAGTGTCCTCATCGTCATGGATCTATTTTTATATGACAACCGATCTGCATACGGTAACCAAAGACTTCGAATATTTCAGTGGCCGGAAATTAGCATCGAGTTAGATGATCGTCGTCTAATCCTCACATCGGCAAGGGATGAGTCGACGATAACATTTGCACATTTTGTGCAATCAGACACGATGGGAGGATCGTCACAACAAACATCGACCAATAGCGGCCCGATGGATCAAGGTGGGCGGAATGGCGCTGTCAGGATCTGATTAGTATTCTCAATGATGATGCAGCTCCAGTATCCATTTGAAGGATTCTCGCAAAATTCACAAATGCAAGGTGAGAAATAGATACCATTAGTTTCTGAATCCCTCGTTTATAAATTGCCTCGATATGACATTGGCAATATAATACAACACGATCCCCTTTACCATTGTCTTCATTCTCATTTAGAGATCCTGAGCACTTTTTGTTTTTGTAGAAAGAGAGTGTTACACTACCATAAAAAACCGCATCAGCTTTCTGTTAGTATTTTAGAAAGAAACTGGTTTTAACGACGAGTTTTTAATCCAATTTTCATTTCATTTATTGTATAATATTATGAGTTCTTATTGAGCGTTCAGATTGCACTCAATAAAGGAGTAAACGCCACCTTGATCTCTGGTAACTTCACTGCCCGATCAAATGTGCGATGATAAATAAGGATAAGGGTTGAAGCTCTTGGCCTTGATCAATCCCTGTGGGATGCGCCATGCACTCGACTTCATTAAGCATCGTTTGGAGGTGATTGGATGCATATCTGGCCTTTACAGTGACTCGCGGTGGCCTACCGATGTATCGACCCAGTGCTGCTATCCTCCCAGACAAGTCTGGTACCAATTTCTCAACTCCGGAGGGATGGAAGACTAGCTGGGCCATGGGCGAGGGGACCAATTCCACATGTGTGTTGCAGAGCGCTTCCGACCGCTGCGCCAAACGCGTCCATATGCGGTGATAACTTAGCTAAGGTACAGCTGCAATAAAACTGCCCAAGTCTTAAATCGATGTCATGTCTCATTTATTTTACTTGTTTTAATCATTATTCGTTTTATTCTATTTTATCCATTTAACCTCCACTGCAAACAGTCCAACATTCAGAACAGCACTCTCCACCAACAATCCGACGAATACGTCGCAGTCGTACGTCGTTCAGTGATGATCAGCTGGACCAACTTGAAAAAACCTTCGAGCAATGTAACTACCCGGATATTACGCAGAGGGAAAAACTTGCCAAAGATACACAACTTCCGGAAGCAAGAATACAGGTGAACTTCTTCCAAAATCTTCTCTCAATTTCTATTTTCAGGTGTTTGATTAGCTTAACTCCATATAGAACTAGACAATTCACTGCTCTTTAATTATCTTCCATCGAAATAGTTTGGCAGTCATGTGCATTTCGCCTGCGGCTTGACGATTTCTCACTTATGTTCCTTAACGACCTTTTTACACGTGGAACGTGATCTTTTTGAAATCTAGAAGATAAGTTCATGAGGTATTCACAATTTTTCATGTTCGCGGGACTTTGTTAATGTTGTGGATAGCCCACTGTGGTCATAGAAATGTTTCCTGCTTCATGACTAGGTCTCCCACAAGACGGCAGAATGTTTCTGTTGCCTGAGATTGGTTGACTAACCGATCCACGATGTTGTCGTAATTTCTTCCACTTAATTAATGGGAAGCAAATGTTTCCGACAAGCCTAAAACGTAAAAGTGGAAATAAAAAACACATAAATAAGTTGCAACCGGACAGAATTTCCAGCGTAGTAGTTCGTAAGATTCACAGAGCACTCAAAAAGCACGGTGTGCACAACTCGTCAAAATAAACTATCGAAATCTCCAAGTACTTGAAGCACTTTTGAGTTATTCCTAAAAAAAGAGAAAATATGAATAGGATATTTTCTAAACTTGAGTGAATTACACTATCACTCAACATCTCAACAAAGTGTTCGCATTTATAAGTTCTCTTAAGGACGGGTTTTTTGGGCGCTCACATTCGGCTTCCTCAAATAACCTAGAGGTGATCGAAGAGATATTTGTCCTGCAAAATGACAATCAGTGAGGTACAGATAAAAGAAGTCGGTATTTCCTTCGATTATTCAAAGCTCATCCTTCCTGAAAAGCTGGCAGTAGTTTGCTACACTGAAGAGATCGAAGGCTTGTTGAGGCAAGGGGAGAGATTGAAATAACGAGCGCGCAGAGCAATCCTAGCCACTGTGCTACATGTTGACACTTCTTAGATGGGAAGAAAATCAGGTTAGACTAAATGCCCCAATATTCGTCATATGTTTATTAGTTTCGAAGTGATCGACGTCTTGCAACCGCAGAAATGCAGTACATTTACGTCATGTACTTTGGACATTTTTTGAAAAAATGTTAGCTATAGGAAAACTACACCCTAAAAGTGCAAAACATACTCTTCACACCTTATTTTGTGCGCAAACGGTTCTTTACCTAAAGAGAAAGCAAGCGACAAAGTCTTATTGATTTCTCTGTGGATTGCACAATTAGACCATTACAATGACATACAGATGAAATCTAAGCGCTATTAACGCTAAAAATGCCTTACGGATTTTACTTAAATAATGGCAATCAATTCCCAGTTTTTAGCGTTAAGTATGCACAATTGGCGGTGTTGCTTGGCACAGATAGCTTAGTGTACGGTAGCGTTATTGTTTATACAGCTGTTTGACTCAACGCCGACCGTATTATCGTGGAATTAGCGGGAATCAATTCAATGGTGCTGTCGTGAGTCGCCATATAACCCAAAAAATGTTCTTAATATAGCCGAAAAGAGGATATTTATACAAGTTGTAGTGTTACAGACATGAACACGAACATATGCTCTGCGAGGATTAATAGAACTGATTTCAACTAATAAACTCAACAGCAAGTGAGCAGCTGTTTGAGATTCTCTACAATGCAAGGAGGTCGCTGGTTCGATTCTGTGAGAGAGTACAAAGTCAAGCACCCCATCCTGCTAGAGTCGGTAATTCGGTAACAGGCTTATGTGGGATGAGAGCAATACTGACTTGCTACATTGGTAGGCGAGCGCAATTCATCGTATAGGCTAGGTACAAATTCAATCACTGCTACGATTCTCTTGGTCCTAATTTACAGCTTCAAAGAGTAGTCACTACCTTTCAGTGCATTATGCTTAAAGAGTAAAGTACCTATGCTCACAGCTTTTTAATAGGCATTAGTTTTGTTCTATCGTAGTGAATCGAAACCCCGAAAAATATTTCAATAGAAATCTAGCATTTCAGCAGTAGGGAACAGTTGGATACTTCCGTAGCGCAACCACTAGAGAAGCCACTGCGTTGCCGTTTCCTCCTGCTCTAGCAAATAGTTAAGTGTGATATAAAAAGTTGTCCTTTGTCGGAAATTCTAGTGGGGATCAGTGGATTGATGTTGTATATACCGTTATTTGAAAAATCACACGTTCCAGAGATCGTTCTGCCTAAATGCACTCCTCACTGGTAGATTATCAAAGAGCTTAATGTCTCAATAATTCCACACATTTGTTTCCGCTATCAGTGTTTTATCTCTTAATTTATTATACGGACGTGTTCTTAAATGAAGCTATGCTGCCATGATGCTTATTATTGAACTATGATGTACAGCAAAAATTTCATCTCATGACGAGATCATACAAATTGCAGTGACGTTTGATGTTTCAATCCAGAAAAAATTGTAAATCTAGGTTAGCTGACAGAGTTCAGCTTACTGGCCAACAAAACCAAGTGGCAAAAATGAAGTTGAACTGAAGAAAAAAGACATTGAGCCGTTGTTCTACTATAATTCCTAGGCAACGGTTCAGCTCTTGAGAATGTTCCTAATCACATGGATCAGTCATCTTCTGCTGGTTTTTGGCCAGAACAGATGCCTCCCTTAATCCCATGCTTCCGTTTCCGCCTTCTAAATCTGCGTTACGCACTTCAAATACACACCGTCTACTGCTACCACTAAACCATTACGCAAACACTTCAGTCGGTCACCAGAGTACGGTATGATGAAATACAGTGAACGTCTGTGGAAAACCGTTGAGAACTATTTCAATGCCGGCGATATGAACTTGTTCATTTTAGGAAACATGCTTGAATTACTTTATTTATTCTTAATGTGACAAAAAGTAGTTTTGGCCGAGAAAAAGTGGTATAAATTCTCCAGTGGGGGCGTGTGGGGCAGTGGTCGGAGGCGCCCTGCAACACACAAGTGGGATCCATCCTTGTGCCTGTAGATCACCAAGCCTTTCATTCTTCTTCGGTTGGTAAATTGGTACCAGACGTACGTGGGAGGATAGCAGAACTGGCTCGATACATTGGCAGGTCACCGTAAGTCATTCTAGAAGCCAGATATGTATTCATTCACCTCCAACGATGCTTAATGAAGTCGAATGCATGGCGCAACCCTCAGAAATTGAGCAACGCTGAAGACTTTTTATTTTAACTTTTTTAGTTTACGAAATATGACATTTCCACCAATAACAGCCACCAACAACCACATCGGGGTGCGTTACTGCAGTGGTTAAAAGTTGAAGTTAGAATGCAAACGTGCTGATTCGTTCGATCCTGTGCTCCGGTCTCACCAAGCCTTCCATCTGTGCAGTGCCGGTGAATTCGTATAATACTCTCCGCGAGGGCAGTATATCGGAATTCCTTTATTGATGGATCACCGCAAGGCACCCTGTAGCCCAGAAGTGCACTCAATTACCTCTAACGATACTTGTTGAAATCGCATGCATGGCGGATCTTTCAGGAATTGTTTAAATTCTTACGCTTTATCCTTTTCGTCCTTTAACAATTCATTCTTCTAGACCTTTTTTTGCAGTTTTCAACTAAATTCTCATCTAATTTCTAAGAAAATGAAATTATTCCGAGCAGAAAGAGTAGCGGCTCATCAAAAGGGATGAGATGTTGATCCCATCGAGTAAAAACCGTTGTGCAATTCATGAAAAACTTAGACTATTTTTCACACAATTCCTTTCTAGCTATTTCTTCATTAAGAACCCATATAATGCGTTATTCTGGTAGACTTTTCACATCTGATCTATCTGATAGCATGAGCAATCACTTGGTGATAAAGGCTTGTCGGCTTTAATCTCAGTGTTACTTCTCTAGACTTCCAGGTTTGGTTTAAAAATCGCCGTGCGAAGCAAAGAAAATGGCTACGAAATCAAAGAAGAGACGATTTGCCACTGATTCCCAATAAAGCACCACCAAAGGAGAATACCATAATCAGTGAGTTTTGAAATAAAACATTTTGAATCAAATTAATAATCAATCTATTGAAGTATTTTTGAGATTTTGTAGGTCCAGCCCTCTCCGACTTCATTCTCTAGAAAATTCTATCGATCAATAAAGAATTTTCCCTTTAACCATAGCGTGCAAATCATCTCCCTGCTTGAATAGTAGTTCGATGATTGGATGTCCTGTCTTCATTAAATGTGTTGATTTAGTGTCCATTTACTTGGTACTTCGTTGTTTTGAAAGATTTTTTCACGATTTCCTTAGATAACCGCATCATGGCGACCCCACTCCTTCACGCAGTGAGAATTGCTGTACATTCAGAATCGCAGAAGGGTTATTACGTTACTATTCGAAGAGTTTCAATTGAACAATAATTTCTGACATTCGTTTAATTTTGGCCAACCTTCAAGTTCTAATTTTCGAATAATTCTGTAAGGAGAACAAACCAGGCACTACGACATTGAAGTTTTCACGGTGAGGTATTGAGCCATTGAGAGCGATATTTGAATATTCTAAAAATCTGTCCAAAGTATCACAACTTTACGTTGTTTGTAATTTTTTAACTGAAAAGGAACATAATACTTCCCGTAAAAATTTTTCAACGTCAAAACCCTTTTCATCGGCATCGCTAAGAGCATCGGAAGTGGTAGTCCTTAATAGCGCGAAGAATTTTGGTTTGCATGTCTTCTTGTACACTAAAGAAACTTTTTTCTTGTTTGTTTTCTTATGAAAACTCAGAATCGTTCAGTTTTTTGCTACTAATAGTGATACTTTTAGCATGGACACCAAGAAGCGTCCTCGCGAATTTCTTCCCAACACCTTTTGTCGCCACACCGTATGCACAGTACCCGCCATTTGTACAACATACACAACCCCCAGTGAGTTTAGACTATTCATTTATTTATGTTACCCGCTGTCGCATATCGTGCCGAACCCACCACTTCGTTCAATCGGTTCGGTGTCTCGCATCCACCTTCACGAAGGTATTCACGAAGGATTTGCATGTATGTTCGGCTGTCACCATATCATTTTGTTTGTTCCATAAATATCATTGAATACTGGTGGACTTCTGGATTGTCCGTTAGAAAACAAGTCATTATCAATGGATAATTGTTATAAAAAACAGTCGTCCTTTACGAAAGAGCGCTTCGTGGTAAGGTAGCCTCATTCGGTTGGTGCTCCACCGAGGAAGATTCGACTCGATACAGAAATGAAAATACGACTTCGAGAAGACGAATGACTGTAGACCATCGTCTCAGATCATCGGCTATGAGAAAGAGGACAACGTCTAAACATTAGCCAAGTAAACTTTTTATCAATTTCGTGTTAACTTAATAACCCAGAAACGCAATAATCAACTTTATCCTACTTAAATTTCTCGGGATTCCCTACCTGACCGCCTCTAGATGTTCACCATGTGTAATAGTAACCCGGTTTTGTGCATCAGAGAGAATCCATCTTAGCTCATTTTTTGGAGATCATCTTAATCGAACCTAATGCCGTCTTCCCTACCTTGGAACGACAGGTGCCCGAACCCTGCCCGAACCAACTACCAATCACGTACTGCACCTACGGTATCTATAACCACTGCACTATCCGTGATCCATGGGTTTAGTTAGTTAAGAATATTTTCGAGAATTCTCCAGAATCGAGTAGCTCAGCTAGCAGTTGCATAGCAAACGTCGCCGTAGTAGAAGACAACCATTCATATTGTAGCAAATCATCCTGCGCTGCACAACAGAAGACTGATCCACCTACCTGTGGTGACGGCAAGGGAATCTATTGCCACGACCGTTTAAAAACTTATGCAATCAGCAAAATATAGGCAAATGGATTTTTTACAAAAGCCCAGGTAATTTCAAAGAGCGGGCTAATCAGATTCAGGCTAGATTCGGACCAATGAGTTGTTATTGAAAATACTAATTACCATTCGACAATATACTGACAATCCAAGCCATAAAAAACTGCAGAACTTTCCATGGTTATAATATTTACATGAACAACAACCTTTCATGTCAACAAAATATTACTAGGGTACTCCCGTATATTGTCTTAACTTTTGCTTACTGCCTATTCTTTCTTCACGGCAGGATACGATATGAAATAAAACCACAATGGTGCTGAGATATGAGTAAAATTCGAAAGCTCAGGTGGTTTCGAACTAACGATTACCCTTTCTAGGCGCTCATCTGCTATCCACCACACCAACCGAGGCCCTAGCTTTACTTTTCTTTCAGTCTTGTTTTTACTCTATCTATGCTATGAGCAACCTCCAACACAAATCGGTATCGAACTCAGCTAAACTGAAGCTGAAGTTTGCAGTTTACAACTGCAGTTGGTGTTCCCAGATCATTCCCGTTGACGAGTTTCCAAGATTCGCTTCCGTTATATAAATCAATCCTTCATCGATTAGAGCACAAAAACTTAGCGCATCAATGGCATCCATTTGCCATTGCCGGAAATATCCGATCTCTATAAATCACCATTCCACTTTGTTCTTTTTTCTTATCTTGTTTCACTCTGACATATATAATTTTCGACTATGGCGCTACACACAAAAAGCAAACTTAGACGACCTCTCGAATGAGTTAACTGACTACTGTCGCTGCAGTGGATTGGGTTACAAGGACGACTTGAACAATGTATGAAGAGGACGATTCTATAAACATTATTAGTTCTTTGTTTAAACACTTTACCGTAAATGACTACCTGTCAATCGCGGTGTTAGGGAAGAATACAGAAACTTTAAGGCTTTCAAGCGCTAAATATCTGAATACTATCGAGATAGAGAATGCAGTATCAGTTTAACGGGGTTCGTTGTCGGTTTGGATTCCCTAGATCAATGCCGTCGAAGGGTGATTGCTGATGGCAGTGCTAGGCAGAAAAATAGCTGAGGGAAACGCAGAGCAAGGGCCTCCATGGTGCGGTGGTGAACTCGTTAGCCCCCGGAAAGGGTAATAGCTCATTCGTTCTCCACCGCAAACACCTGCCGTCGGGAGTTTTGCAAAGATCTTAGCATCACTGTGGTTGCACCACACGTAATACCCTGCCAGGAAAAATCGTAATACGCAGTTAATAAAAAGTTAACATAGTAATGAGATAATTCGTGAAAAAGTTCTAAGTTTTTAAAAAAAACCTTTTTTTAAAGCTACAAGGTTGAAATCATACAAATTCTCTGAAAATTAGCATCGTTTCTTTCAACTTTTTCAACTTTGAAACCTTCCAAAATAAAGTTTTGTGCTTTTTTTACAGTATGTACTTTCTGAGTTAGTGGAAATTTCAGGCAAGAATAATCGAAGAATTCATTGAATTAGCACTTTTCGAGTCAAGTTCTTCAGACATATTTGGGTGCTTTCTAGGTCCACTTTCAACATGTAGCGCCATCGTTTAACATTTGATGACCACTGTCAACTCAGAGATGATGGCAATGTTCATCCGTTTCATCTTCCTCTTACATATGGTTTGTTTTTTCTTTCGTTGAAATTGTGACCTTCTTGATGTTGATAAACCTGCCGATTTAGCGTTTTTTAAAAAGCTTTATGTACATTAAGTGACAATGTCCGCAATCATGACATACACATTGCTTTACACTCATTGTACGTCTCAAAATTATTCGCATTTCCATCTCGTCCATAGTACGTGAATAGCATGCAGTTATTGTAACTTCTGGTGAAGAAGTATCTGGAATGATAGCTCAAAATGATCGCATCCTGTGTCAAAAGAAGCCCGCACGGCCAGCACAACTTATTAACCGGATGAAAGCAACTTTATAGGTCTTCCCCAGTAGCATCCCTTTGCCTTCAGCACACGTTTTTGTCTTATGTTCACTACCTACAAAACCCTCCCACTCCAACTAAAACGGTCCTGAACCAGAATTTTCAGATAGAACGCTGCTCTTCTCACCGAAAAAGGAATTAAAAAGCACTTGCCGTGGTCTGTGTGATCCTTGGTCGCCGAATCTACCAGCATCATATGGTAGATCGCATAAGTAGTCTGAATAAAGCACTGTTGAAACAATACAGATATATGGTAGAGCAGTAAACTAAATTGGACCAGTTATGTTGGTCCGTTTCGAACATATGAAATTAATCTGCTACCTTTTGTTGGGCAGCAAATCCCATCTTCACATTTGTATCCTTTCGGACATTCCGAACAGGGAAGAGGCTCGGGTAGAGACGTCGCCCCAGCAGCATACGCACCCGATTTGCACACAGCTGGAAACTGTACTCGTCATTCATCATTTTTTGTAAAGAAGTTCAACTGCATGCCTGAAACTCGTCCGATTTCCTGTTCATACCGCTCTCTACTACACTTTAACACCATCGTTATTCCATACAATTATCCCATAAATGGTATACAGCTGGCGAAAATTAATTTCTCTACAAGCCTGATGCCTTCAAATGTGCTCAAGAAACTGTGAAGTAGTGAAGTTTCTATCTGTATGGAGAATACATTCATAAAATCTTATAAGTAGAAGAAACTGCAGAGCGCCTCCATATTACACCTTACCCCCTATATTACATTAAGGAAAAGCCAAGAAAGTCGCCATGTTGGAGATATTTCTAGTTATGATTACATGTAGTTCTATAATTCTTCGTATGAATGCATTTTCTACTTTAATCGAGATCTTTCATGCTTTTAATTCGTCCACTCATTCATTCCTTCATTTTTGGCAAACTTCTAGCTGTACTTCGCACAACGCCTCAACCATAAACAATGACAAAAGGATATAAAGTGTTCGGCGTTGATCAATCTCTAAGGGAAGCGTCATGCATTCGGCTTAATTCAACGCCGTTAGATGTGACTGAATATATATATATATAGCCTATACAATGACTTGCGGCAGCCCATTAGCTTACTTAGTGCTACTACCCTACCTACCAAGGATACATGGTGAGGCTTGGAAGGCTTGGTGAGCTCGGGCTCGAAGCAAAGACCACATCTGTAGTGCATAGTACCTCTAACCACTACACTTCACGCGCCGATTATTTTCTATCATATCTATTTTTATTCAAATTTTAAGCTGAGCACAGCCAAAATCGGTCTATGTTACCGATGTCATTAAGTGTTTTTCTAGCCTTTTCATCTGTTTCTGACATACCGTTGATAGCAGTGGCTGTGCTCCCCTTGCTATTTGAACACATCATCATACAATTGGCTTTGGTATCAAATCTGTTCTGATTACCACCACAGCCCTAAAAACAGCATCTAGTCGATTTCATGGAATCACAACGGAACATTTACTTCCTATAAAAAAGCCTTCATTCTTTCAGAACTTTCCAAATTGTTTGCCAACGACTTACAGTCTCCTATGTAAATACATAGTGGCAATGGTATAACAGAATATTGAACAGAAACAGCACGATTGAACACTGGTTTAATTTGTTTATACAGTTCTTGACGAGTAGATGCTAATTCAGTAAACTGGTATGAAACTCTCCTACACTTGCAAGTTGACGAACATTTAGTCATCTCATTCTACAAAAAAGATTCTCTTACAAGACTGCAAGATGGTGTTGTTTCTTTCACAACCATCCCTTCTACGTCTACCCATTCACAGGAATTTCAACACTTAGTTATCTGTAAAAGATAATTTTGGGAGAATGTCCCATCTTAGTTCCATAGTGAATTCAAAATTGTGGTAATTTCTGGAATCTGCTTATTCGGTTTACTACAATACCGGATGAAGATGCCAAAATCTTTTCCAACTTCCGTAACTCTGTTTGTGAGGAGAAGAGTTCTCTGCTCCACTTTAGGGTGCACCACTTAGCTTGCCACAGTGAAGCGATTGATTGGCAAGGCGATGCTGACATATGTAATCGATGCATGTTTACTATTGTTGTCAATGTGTTGCCAAGCCGTTCTACGACATATCTTACCTTGTAGTAGAACGGTTGACATTTTTTTGTTCGAAGATCGAAGTAGAACCGCTGACCACCAGGTTCACCACAAAATTCGCCACTGTCTCTACCTGAAAGTAAGAAAAGAAGAAGAAGGAATCATCATTACCAGATTGAAAGTGAGGAATCAACAGTTACTTCTCTTTAAGTGGTAACAAAAAAACGATAGAGAAGAGGACTCACCAAGTAAACATTGTTTCTCCGCGAAAACTAACGGCACCAGAACTAGTAAGTAAATCATTACTGTAAATACGGTTTGCTTTAAGGTATTCACTTTATAACATTGTTTTCTTAATGAGATTTACGAGCTTGGATGAGTTATCGCATAGGAAACGAACGTTCGGGTTTTCTGAAATGTTTTCCTGATCTCCATGAAGTGATGGAATGCAAACCAATGCAACAAAATTTAAATTATCGAAACTAAAGCTAAGAACATAGATGGAGTCACATGAAAGCCATAAGTATTCCTAAAAAGCCAAAACAAATACGTTCGTGCTCCAGACAATGCAAAAACTAGGGAAAGAAGACAAAGACGTCATTCAGGACGTCCTGGATCACGCAGACCGTTATTGAGTTGGTCGACTCGATGAAATTTCGCTTAGGATAATAACAGTAACAGTAGTACTAATAGTAGTAATAATAATAATAGAAATAATTTTAATGACGATAAACACTATCCACAACGGATGTGCCAAGAGTTTTCTTCCTCAAAAAGTTTTCGGTTTATCAGTAGAAAATTCTCTACCGTAATAAAAATAACCGAGATCTCTTGAGCTTGAAAATGAGAAGAAGAGGATGGACTTGTTCGGTTGTCGCTGAAATGTCGATTTTTTCGTCACAAATTCTGACGCTTTTGTTCCAAAGAAAGTTCCGTGTAAGTCAGTATTTCCCACGTTGGGCAGACAAAGGTTATCTCACAACAATAGTCCTCACCCATGTGGGACTCATTGCGACTGGTAGTACCAAGCAACTAACTGAAAGACTTGCAAAAAACAAAACGGCTCTAAAAAATGCAAAGCCACCTAAAGATCATCCACTGTTGAATGAATCTTATTAATAGCCTCATATTCGTTCATGAAAAAACATTGATTTACTGAAGAACGCCGAGGTTAATAGAAGATCGGTCCTGGAAACGTTTCGTATATTTTTCTTCATTTTACGTACATCGGCGTAGACTTCTCTTGACATTTGTACGCCAAATAATTCTATTCCCAGTTTCAAATTTTGGCGGTTTTGTCAACTCGGATGGGGATTTCAGAAATTCCAGTTACTCTTTATATAAATGCAAACACGAACGTGATCATCAATCTTGAATTCAGCCTGGAAGAAAGGTAAACCAAGGTCGGCTACTAGGTCAGTTTCTAAAGTTTATTCAGGTGAGGAACTTGAAGATGACGAAGTTCTACGAGAAGGATAACTTGGTGCCTTCGACGATGACTATTTAACGACAACATGAAACAGATCCACGCTCAAAATTTCGACAACATCAGAAAGAACTAGGCGTAAATAAACCTGAATTGGAAGTCTAAAAAAAACTCGACAGGTGGGTTTCGTGCGAAACGAACAGTTTCATCATCGTATTATAAAATGCGACCAATAAGTTACGTTCGCTAAACGACAATATTCTGCAGAGTAACTGGATAAAGATGAAACAGGATTCCTTAAGCATTTGCTTCCATACGAAGAAAGCAGCAGTGATTGAATGCATACTTTGCCTATAAAATTAGTTGAGAATATTAGTTGCGAATACCTACGATCAATTGATATTCATAATCTTCCAGATAAGTCTAGTGACAACTTTCTGAACCAAGGTGAACAACGATGTTGGTACGCCTAGGGTAGGTAATCGAACCAACAACCACGTGTGTATTATACTGACCCCTAACCACTGAACTGCACGCACTTCAAAAGCAAAGAACTGTTAAGTAATAGAAGAAGCACAACAAGAAGAATAACAATTGAGATCGTCATTGATTAGTTAAAAGCGAACAACTTGTTCTCGATGGGGCCGTCAACTCCGAACAATGTAGCACAGCACGTCGACATCCTGTTACTGAGGAAATCTTCGAAAAGTAAAACGCCACTAAAAATGCCTTTAGAAGACTGCGCTCCGGATACTTAGAATTATACAACGACAAGGTGGATGAACTTGTACATCACTGGGAATGACATGAAGTCTGTGAGAATTTCCATTTCGATATTCGTTGACACATGTACATTAGAGATTGGATGTTAAAAATTGACAAGACTATTTCTCGACGCCGAAATTCTATAAAACCACATTTGAAGGTAAAAGATCCTTTGACGTTAAAACCAGTTCGCTACTTTAACGAACATGAAGGATGAGACATTAACTACAGACAAATGCATCAATCACCAAGAACGAATATTATTGTAATACAACAGAAATACAATTTTATTATAATAGGACTCAAAAGATCACTTCTAGAATTCCTATTGGCACTGTATTTGTTTTTAAACACAATCATTTTGGAAGCACAAGTGAAAACTGAGACACTATGACCGCCTACTGGTTGCTTGATGCAAACATATGACTTTTCCTATCACTACAGTACAGATGTAATATTGAAATATTCCGCGAGCTTTTGATTTTTTGCAACAGAGCAAAGCTAAGAGCTATTAAAAATCTATCACAGCAGGTGCTTAACGGTTTAAACATAGAGCACCGATAGGTAGTGGCTAGACTTAGGGAACCGGAATTTATCATCGATGTCATCATGAAAGTAATTGAATGCACATCTGGCCTATACAATGAGGGAGATTACAGACGTGCCCAGTCGGTGCTGTTTTGCTCGTGGACAAGTTTAGTACCAATTTGGCCAGCCAGGAGAGTGGAAGAGCTGAGAAGCTTGCTTAACCTGTGATCGAAGTAACGACCATGCGAAACTTCTAGCCACTGGGCTACACCTAACCAATTTAGCCGTTGTCCAAAATGTGAATGATTTCATGGAAAACAAAGTCTGGGGCTGCTGGGTTATTCGAAAATCCTTTTCAACAAACTGCCTTGTTAATACTTCATTAAACTATGAAAAATGAGAAACTTGCCAAAACTTCTACAGAACTGGAACAACTTTTTTGTATACTAACACCATATCTATTCGCCAACAAAGTAAAACCTGATCATCAAATAAAACTATCACGAGCAGTCTCATTAATAATCGAATGATTTGAGCTGACACCTGTACTCGCAGTACGTCCTTTGCGCTAGCACTCCCCGTCTGGGCCTGCTCCTTCGCATGACAGCGAACAGCACCATGTTCTTAGTAGCAGGTTAGTTCTTTCTGTTATTTTGAAGAAGGCGATATCTACATGTATCTTCCCAGTCCGTTCCGTTGGAGACTATGGAGGAGAGGACAGTTTACCTAAGTTCAAGTTTGTCGAATTCATCCTTAATCTCTGAAAACATCAATTGCCAACATCAAAGTAAATAAAGGCTTGGTCGTGATAGCTGGAAAGAAAGAAGTGGAGAAGGTAAAGTACTGCCTATTGAACACATACGAGCGCTGATGGAACTATTTCATTTGATTTTACATCGTATAAAGCTGAATTTTATTGTACTCGCTGTCAATAGTTAGATACTATTGAACTCGTCAAATGTGATATATGAGGACAGTAGTATGCAGAAGAAGCTCGCTACTCTGTTTGCGATAGTCTTGGCCGAAAGAAAGCGTCGTTTTAGCTAGTTCTCTAAGCAACACCGAAGTTCTAAGACGGACTCATGTTTGATCATATCTCGTAGTATCTAATACGGTGCACTGAAAATCTGAACTACCAAACTTGTAATCATGACTATAAAAAACCAAACATTATTTTGTGATCGTGTGCGCGTTTTATGAACCAGAAGTTCGATATCATGTTCTCAAAACCAGTCCCTGTGATGTTTGTTACACATCTGTCTTTTGTCATATCACGTAGATAGAAAGCCACGTACAACCAGGTATTTATCGACGCTGTGCATCAGCACCAGCAGAAAATTTGATGTGAATCACCATTCACGATCTATAACAGATGTAGCAGCAAAACTAAATATACTGTAACATTCCCACAAAAAGCAATGAGGCATTGGCTTAAATACGCCATTGAAACTTACATGGCTATAACTAATAGATTTTCTGTTCATTTATTTTACAAGACCTGTCCTTCAAATCTACTGCGCGGATCCCAGCACTTGTTCCATTCGATTCGTTTTTTCGCATTCACCATCTGCGACGGTCCTTCAAATTTTGTTTGTGGATTCCGCTGCTGCTTAAAGATTATCGCCTTCTTTATGAACGTCGTTGAATGCTCGGAAAGTTGATTATCCCTGAACTCCTGACGTCGGGCTAGATGTTTCCCATCTGAAATGCGAAGACTCCCTACACCAGAGAGATGATGGGCTTGGTAGTACTGGTACGGTGTCGTACCAGCAAGATGCTCGTGATGGCTGGCATCACTGCCACTGCATCGCCCGCTTAGGTACAGCTTATCATTTAGATATAGTGTCGTTTTCTTTTCCTTTCCTTCACTTACTGTTTCGGAATTTTAAAGACGTCTTGCTTACTCACTAAAGCAAAGAAGCGTTCGGCGTTGATCAATCCCCGAGGTTGGTATGCGTCATGCACCCGACTTCATCAAGCTTCATAGAGATAATTGTACGCGTGCCTCACCGCCATGATAACTTATGGTGGTCTGCCGGCTTATCACGTCTGTCCTATCCTTCCAGACAAGTTTGGTAGCAACACTCCAATCCTGGAGGGATGGAAGGCTTAGTGAGCCTGAGGGGTGGAGGTCGAAGTAGTGATCAATTCGCTGTTTATTGCAGAGCGCCTACAATAACAGCGCTACACTGGTCTCTTTATACAATTTGTTCACTAAGTAAAGGGAAAACTCCATGCTTTAAAAATATCATTGCTTAGCACTTTCTGTACTATATGGTGACTCTATCAAGTCCTAATCTGCTTTAATAATTGCCCTTATAGATAAATAATCAGTCGTGTTCCCTAGTTGTGAACAAAACTGGAAAGGAACTGACTCCCTCAAATTCGTTGTTCACCCACGATTTCAAAGAAAAATCTATCATACTCCATCTACTATCTACCATTCACTCGTCACATGTCATTCCAATAATGATCGAGAGACTCGAGCCGGCGTCAAGAAAATCGTGTTTTCCAATCACTGTCTTCGTAAAGAAGTCTCATTGTGCATCTCCTTCCGGTATGTCTTTACATAGTGAGAAGCCTAGCCGCTAACGGCTTCGGCTTTCCAACGATTATCGATCATACTCATGAACTCTCTCCACACCCGATTTCCACTGTCCTGGCGTTTGAAGTACGGTCCATAATCTTCTGTTCGGCGGATTAAGGGACTCCAGTGTTCCTACCTCTAATTTCTGTTTAACAAAACACTTTTAGAATTACGCTCTGGGTAGTTTTATGACGAAAACAGCTCTTTCGTCGTGTTTAACATAGTCCCCATTTTTCCGCTCTTTTTCTTTATGGAAAAAGACGAATTTTGCGCTGAGACAATGGTTCGGTTCCGCGTATAACGATTGGATCGACGGCAACAATGGCTGAATAATGCCTTTAATTTACGATAATTTGGTTAATTATATTATGGAACTCTTCGCTGAAAGTCTCCTGCATCTAACTCGAGACGAACTGGCCTCTGAAATCTTGATTTACCATCGATGGAGTGTGGTCTCCAAGGTAGAACCAGTCGGCCTCCTTTATCATTCCATCTCATTATCTTGATGATGTGAAGTTTCTCACGTTTTCTTGGTACGGATTTTGGTGTGGAACTCATTTAGAATGCCTTGATTTCATCGTCGTAGCCTAGTATAGCAGAGTAGCCAGAAAATTGCCGAATTCCGTACTAGTTCACAAGAAACGATCCGTCCGAATTATAGCCATAGATTTGAGTGTCGAAACAAGCTCATAAATCGTAAAACTCTCAGCGTTTACCAGTCGTTGATCACCATGCACTTGACTTCATCAATCATCAATGACCTGTAGTACACGCTGATGTACCAAGTCAGTGTCATCACCCTCCTTGAGAAGTCAACAAGTCTAGTATGTTGCCGGAGCGTTGGAAAGCATGAACTCAGGACGAAGTGTTTACATAGCGATCAACCCAATGTGTATTGTAGGGCAACTCTAACCATTGCGCTACAAGAGCTCTAGGAATAAGCTCATATTTTGACGAGTGTAGCAATTCCACCAACTACTTGAATACTGTATTTTCTTAAAAAGCAGTTCTCAATACTGCTAATAGCACTATGTGTAATGTGTTCAGCCTTACTAGCACATGATTTCCACCCAGATGCCGATTACAGGATAAACGCACCGGCGCTTGTCCTTCCTGCAGCCAACCTGCTCCCAACCCCTCATAAAATGGATTCGTGTTCGAAAGATCAATTGCTCTAAAATCCACAAACGAGTTATAACTTGGACCGAAGCCGCTCTCCTTGAAAGTTTTTCCACGTGTACGTCAACGAGATTCAATAATGCTGGTGGACCTCTTGCCTTAATTCCTTTAATTTTTCGTTGTTATCCGTTCCTATGTGAGAAGCACCTTTTCGTATTTGCATACTACTACACGCAAAATTTATTCTAAGAATATACAAAAATTAATGGACGACGAAAAATATGTCTATAACTCAGGTTTACTCGTATTCTCAGATATTAAAATAGTCAAGATAGCACAAATTACCACAGTGCAACACAGTTCAACTACAAGTGAAAGAAAACCATGAAAGAAGCATGGATAAAAGCAGGCATAGTTTAATAGGCACCACGTGAATAAATTAAAGTGGCCAAAATTTCACAGTCAAAATATCTCAGTGATTATACATAGAGCAATTTTTGTGCCCATAGGACCATGATTTTCTCAACAAAGGAGTCAAAGGCACATCAACGACAGAGGGAAACCGTATAGGACGAAACACAATTTGATGGATCAAACTCTACTAAGCTCGAACTCAAACTATAACTATTAACTCTATTGAGCAATTACGTATCGTATTTACAACAAAAAAGATCTTCACAAATAATTGTTTTAAACGCATTACAAATCTAAGGTAATCTTAGTACAACGTTTAAGACACTATTTCACGCAGTGAACAATTCGACATCAACACCTGTTTCAATTCTTCGTCGACAGCAGATAGTATGGAAATAATTTGGTGTACCTACAAAAATCCTTTTACTCAACACTAAACGGATTCACTTAGAGGCTTGGTGTCGTTAATTAAAGAACGATACACTTTATACTGGTAACTGGGAACTACGTGTTCTTCGACAACGATGAACGAAAGCACTCCTGGACGTCAGACAGTAAAACCTAGTAGATAAAAACACTCACCAACTGATGGCGTTTCTCGTTTGCCTCTTCGAGTTCGATGATTCGTTGTCGGACTCTTAACACCAAATCCACAATTTCTACATGATGTTTTGTAGCAAGTACTTTTGACCCTGAAGTATTTCGTGCTATACTTCTCGTATAGCACGACTACCTACGGAACGATCAAACCATCACACTCTTCTGCCGGTTCTTTTCATAACGCCCTTACCCAAATCTGCAGAACAAAGTGCTTCCACATATTGTGCCTTAAGTTGTGTATTCACGTCCCGATTTCGACTTGTTAACCAACCGTTGAAATTAGCACTACTTACGAATCGACGATATAATCCTAGAAAAGAAAATATTTGGTAGTAAAGTTCAATTATACTATTTAAATATGCAGAAATACCTGGCCAATCTCCTTTTATACCACAAGTCAGAGACGGACCCGAACCGTCGATGGTCAACAGAAATTCATCAATTGAAAAAGGACGTGCACAAGGAATAGCCTTAAAACCACATTACCAAAGTATTCCAATTAATCAAACTTCATACCACTTGTTTCCACATACCACCAAAAAGCCACTTTCCTTTCCAGATGCTTTGGTGAAATGTACCTTACATTTGTGACCAATATAGGGAGGAAATTTTAACGAAGAATATATGTCCACAATGTGATACAACGAAAAGAACAATGAGTTTCAACAAAATCAACAGAATTCGTTACTTAGATGTGGTCAGCAAGATTTAGATGAATAAATATGATCTGACCTTAAATGGCGACATTTCCTTCTTCAGTGGCATTAATGAGGACAGATAGCGCTCAAGCGGAATCATGAAACTCTGTGTAAGTTCGAGGAAATGCCTTCGTAGTATATTACATTGGACCTTAACACGTAATATTTTCCAGTAAGAACCCAATATTGCCACATATTCCGTACCTGTGATGGTCTAGCTCCTTTTAACAACTTCTTAGTAACACTTTTGTCCTTATTCAAAAAGGTCTTATACTGTGTATATAAACCAGCTTTCGTATCAAGAGTCCGACCATCCCAATGTCTCCTAGAAATCAGTATCTATGTAGACCATTATTAAGCGCAGATAAGCATGGCAAATAGGTAGTGGTGACTTACCTTGTCTTTTCTTGTCGGTCATGGCTATCAGTACCTTCTACCGTGTCCCCCACCTTTAAAATATGAGGCCAATGGTCCAACGCCTTTATAAAGAATGGGTTCGTAACGCCCAAGATGACGCGTGGACTGAAATTAAATCAGTGGTTTCTTCATGTGAGCGCAGTGGTTATAGGTTCCCTGAAATGCACTCTGAATCTGTCGCTGTTCCCGCGGCCAGATTTCACCGAACCATACAATCTCCTCCCCTGCCTCGAGTGGACAAATTGGTACCGAACTTATTTGGAAAGGCAATAGTGATTGATTCAATGACAGGCCTTTGGTAGTCACTGTATAGGCCATATTGTATTCAATCACTTTTGTGATCTTTAATGGAGTGGAAAACGAGGCATCGGGCAGCTCCTGAGTTTCGAACTGCGATGCATGGTCCAGGTATCATCCACCAGGCAAGGTCTTTCAAGCAGAAGACGAATGTAAATTCATTATACACCCGTCAGCACAGACAGTAGTAAACCAGTGCTCCCAGCAAAGCTTTTGATATAGCACCACAGATCATGTCGTAAGAAATCGTGTAAGCAATCGTTATATGAAAAATGGGCATTCTTTTTCGAATTACCTGAGGGTTCTTCTTAAAGAAACTACCACGTAAATAATGCAGACTTTCATTGCACAATAGGACATACGACAGAGAAGTTCCTGATTTGAATCGGTTGCTTACGCAAATGTAGCCACTTTGTCCTGCTCGACCTTACTACCCCCATACCTTGGAAATCACACCTAGTGGTTAAGCAAAAAACATTTTAAAAGTTTCCAGCCTCAGTGCAACAGGTTAAACCATCCGTGTTTTCCACTAGGCTTGTCGTATTGCGAAAAAAAACAAAATGAAGTACAAGAACAGTACTGACGGAGCTCTGCCCTTGGTCGAATACTCTTTAAATTCGGAGTCATGAATAGTGAAGAAAGGTCGATAGTCGTTGTAGTACTTTAAAGGGGCGATAAGAGAGACAAGTGCCTAAAAACAAATTTAAAAATCAGTAGTTCCAGACAAATTATCTCTTACAAGGACTTTGATATATTTAGTACCAACCCTCTTTATTACATATCTAGTAGCCTCCGAAAAAAAAGAAAAAAATGGCAAGTTCGTTCTCCAAAACAGACACCTGGTGTCCGGAGTTTCGCAAATATCTCAGTGTGATAGTGGCTGTATCACACATAATGCTCTGCCGTAAAAAACTGCATTAGGCAGCAAATAAGAAGTTGACATTATGATTTCGACTTCAGCCCCAGCTTAACTGGGTTCACTGAAGATTTCGGTTCCCCAGATTAATCCCGTTGATGGGTGATTGCTGATTGCACTGGTAGTTAGAAAACTAACTGAAAGACAGGCGAAACCAAGAACCCGCATGGTGCGGTGGTGAACGCACTAGCCTCCGGAAAGGGTAATAGCGCGTTCGTTCCCCACCGCAGACACCTGCGGTCCATAGTTTCGCAAATATCTCAGCGTCATCGTGGTTATAGGAAGAAAACTTCAAAAATATCACCTGCACTATGGAGGAGCAACGCTGTGGAGTACTGGCCATAACAAGTAGCGGCTAAATAAGAAGTCTAAGTTGGCTGAGTATGGAAGAGAACAAAAGACAATTTAACCCGCCTCTCCAATTAACACCAATTCCCACAATAACTGAAGATGATTGATAACAGTATGAAGGGTGTTGTAAATATCGATCTCATGAACTGATGGCAGCAACACCGTATTCGCAGCGCAGATCTCCTATGTAAAATAATTAGAAACACTAGAATTCATTAGAAAGCATTATGCATTTATTAACATAAAAAGAGCTCTAGGCGTTGACCAATCCCTGGAGATGCACCAACATTCGACTTCATTAAACATCGTTGGAGGTGGTTGAATGCATATCTGGCCTTTCCAACGACTCAAGGCGGCCTTCCGATGTATCGAGCCAGTGCTGCTATGATTCCAGATAAGTCGTACCAATTTGCCAACTTCGCGGAGGGTGGAGAGCTTGGTGGGCCTTGCGCGCGGGGATAGATCCCATCTGTATTGCAGGGCGCCTCGGACCGCTGCGCTACACGTGCTCCTTTACTATTTATTATCAATTTTTCATATTTATTGTTATAATTGCCACTCTATTTTACCAAAATACATCTAGAAATACCTTAAGTTCATGAGCCAGACGACGGTCTAATGGCAAATCAGCTTGACATGGAATGCGAATCCGTAGCAGAAAACCAAGCAGTGGAAGAGACAGCGGTTCACCAGCACAAGGTGAAGGCCACTGGTCAATGTCATGGCAGGCTAAGTTCGAAAAATTGAAGACCATAAGTAAAATGGTAAGAAACCCTATTTCCGAAGTCAAAATTTTACAATGTAATATAATATAATAATAATAAATAAACATAAATTTAAAATATAATATAATACAATAATAATAACATATCATGTTCTAATGCGCCGTGTGTCTCTTATTTCACTGAGTCATCAACTAGCCTGTGAAGCACAGCTACGAAAGGGTAGAAGTGATAAGCGTTTACCACTTGATTATAAGAAATCTTAGTAAATAATTTGCAATTAATTACCACTTCACCGTGGCCAAAAGCGCTTCCGGGTATCGAAATACAATATTCATCAGCGAGTTCAGGCCAAACGGGGTAAGACGAGCGATGTTGTTTAATATTTTCATCCGGAATCTAGTGAACGCTGAACTCTTCATAGCAATCGCCTATGCTACGTAGGAAACTCATTTGCAAGGCAGAAAACATCTGTCAAATCCACAAGTTGGGGCCACTGCTGTGGTTACGTTCACGAAATGTTTATGAACGGCAATCTGGGTGCTTCATAAAAGAAAAAACAAAGGAAAACTTACCCAACTGCGAGAATCCTCATGACGGTTCACCGCCTTCTAGTGGCTAGATGGTCTTCTGGATATCGGGCTGCAATATACAGCGGGCGAAATCATTCCCTGGCAGGGTCTTCCAGGTTGAGAAAGACTTCGGCGTTTCCATCAGAAAGCACAGCTACGGAAGGGTAAACCATAACCAATATCAGGATCCACAGAATCCTGGTATTAATCTAGTCGCATGATGGTAAATTTCCCTCTGATGTGATTGCCTGTGGTGGTGACGACCTAGGGCGGACGTTAGCTAGGTTGACCTTAGGACTCCAGGGAACCACAACGGCTAAACCAGCAAAACTCCGAAGGTGTGGAAATATTGCGGGAGCCCGCACAACTAAAGAAGACGGACCATCCAAGTATCCTAGTAAGACACTGCGTGAATTATGTTGAAGCGCACACGATTCTTCGAAAATGAGGCATTTAAATGGCAAAAGAAATTAGTGAATTAACTGGAATTCTCTCATAACAGGACTATAGAAGCGAGCAGTCCTAGCGATTTGTGAGTTTCACAAATGTTATGAACACTTATTCACACGAGTCTGGACAATAAATAGCAAAAATGAAAACAATTAGATAATCTTACAATCCAAACGCTTAAAAACCAAGCTTACCGGCTTCAATGGCTGGTTCTCCATTATCAAAAAACTGGACAGCTATTCGCTCTATGACTAATGAAAAAAGGTTGAAGAAAGGTAGTATTGTGATTAGCACCAAACTCTAAAAATATATTACCCATGAGAATATACGACCCTCTTCAGTTCATAAAGAGCAAATGCAACGAAGAAATCACCTTCTGATAGTAACCTCGACGAATAGAAGGGTCTTTTTGTTGACGGAAGTGAACAAATCCATACAGATAGCGTGGCTCAAACGACATCGACGGTGATAACCGTTCCAGAAGGGTTGCTTGAGAAGGGGTCATTTCTGTTGTTCCTCTAAGAAGACAGATTAGAAAACAAATTATGTGAAGGAAAGTGAGAAGGACATGATAAAGAATCCGAGAAAATTAAGCGTCAAATACAATCGCTATGATGCTGAGATATTTGTAAAACTCCGGACCGCAGGTGTCTGCGGTGGGGAACGAACACGCTTTTACCCTTCCGGCGGCTAACGCGTTCAGCACCACTCCATGCGGGTCCTTCTTTTCGCCCGTCTCTCACCCACTTTTCTACCTACTAGTGCCATTGTCGATCACCCGTCAACGGGATTGATCTGGGACCAGTAGGCAGCAAATCAAAAATGAACAAAACGACAAATGTTCACTGTAATCGAAAAAGCATCCTGACTACCTCCTGATTCTAAAATGGAAGTTTGCATCTTTCGTCGTGCCGCTATTGGAATCCGGAAATGCCAGATAGCAAATATTCGTTTTTTCTTGAGTACTCAGTACTGCGTCACCCGGGTAAATCACCTAGGATGATGAACATGAACAATAGTGGGCTGAAATCGATCGATAAACGTTATATCGGGAAAAAACTCTCCGGGAAAGAAACTGAATAAGAAATGACAAATGTTTACAAAGCGACATAATAAGGAGCTTGTGTAAAAGCTTTTAAAAAGAAGTGAAGAAAAAACGCCGAACAACTATACCTCCAGAGCTTGTCCGAGTTCCAGATCAAACGTCACGACACAAATCGAATGCACCCATTCATTGAAGCGTTCCCATGGTGGCCAGTCCTTTCCGGCCATTAGGAAATGCTATAGCCTAAATTCATAATATCCACAGTTAATAGTCAGCTAAAATAGTGTCCGTAAACAGTAGTGGGTACAATAAAGCAAACCGGTCGAGGAAATCTGAAGGAGAATCAAACAGATGCGCGAAGAAATAAGCGTCTATATGAAGACAGCAGTATTCACACCCCAGATATCCCAACGAATCTGTTGTAAATTACATGAACAACATCGATATAGAAGATCGACCGTTGGAAAACATACCTGTACTTGTCTAATCACCTGCTACCGTTTGATGAAACCATGAGCTGCCTCCATGTACACCAACTTTCGGGAGAATCGACGCGTTTAGTACAACCCCGCGTACTATCCACTACACTCACGCACTTATTCATGGGTACGATCACAAGTTCGTGGCTGCTTTTGACACTATTTATCTTCCACTAGATTTGTATTACAGCTTAGTTTATGGCATTGTGTAAGGCAGTGCTCAATGTTGCTATGTAACACACACTAGCTTGCTGATTCCAACCGTGCCCTGGACAAACTCAGCCCTCTATCGCTCCAGAGCCGGCTAAATCCCACCGACTTGTCTGGGTCTGAAAGGATGGGAAACACCAAGTTGATAGACTTATAGGCCGTCGTAGGTTATTGCGTAAACTAGATATACGCATTCACTCTCCTCTACAAGGCTTAGTGGAATGGAATGAGTGGCTCAATTCTAAGGGATAGGATAACGCCGAACGTTATATCCTGTACTCATCAATGATGGATGTGGACGTAGCATGATGATCGGTTGGGTTATTATTATATTTTGCATAGTCATGGAATAGTCTCGTATCCATTCTTCTCGTCCAATTCTGTCATTCATCCCTTGTACTGAGCCCATGGTTGCTCAGCAATGTTATCGATTCGCTGCATTGTAGTTTTCGATTCTCTCCAGCCATTGCGTCGTCTGTTTACTCATACCCTCCCTTTTCACCTAATGTTAACGCTCTTCGCAGTTACTTCAGTGAGGTTTTTTAAAATTCCAATCGTGTATCTATGACGTTACATGACGTCATTGTACATTATCCTCAGTTTTGTCCCAACTTTAAGGGCTATTTCTAGGTCCTCTATCCTTCACTCTAGATTTAGCAAGGTGTCTTCATGCCCTATACATCCTCGTCACTTGTATCCACTTAACCTTCACAGTGAATGTTAAGCGACTTATGGCAATCAAGCAAAACCACATGTAATCTCAATAGCCATTGAATAACTTGAACAGCGACCAGCGAATTCCCATTTGCCCGTATTAACCGCCACAGCTGTTTCAGCGGACTCCGCTTGCTCCACAAGCGGGAAGAGTATCACACTCTTCGTGTGGGACCTTTTATTTTTGTTGTTCTCGATGACAAATTGCCTCCGTTTAGGTTGCCACACTCTGCTCTGGAATAAGTTTACTTTGAAGTACGGAAATGGCCAAATGGCCAACCAGTTCCCAACCTCGACAACTCTTTTTCGTGGTGAATCCTATGAGCACGGATTCAATGCCAATCAAATTTGACCACAGACATTCTCGAAAGTTCGGTGTTCTCAACGGAAATTCCCCCAGACCTGTAATCCCGTTGTTCCATGTGCTTTACTTCCTTGTTTATTTTTGTTTCACACAACACTACCTCTAAAGTACCGTAATTATCGACAAATTGTCGTCACTTGTAGGATAATCAGCCGCATCGGATGCTGTTTGTTAGAATGGAACAGGAAAGATATCGAAGGCTGTGTTCGTAGCAAGAGGTGGAAATAGTACTACCTAGTACTGAATAGTGCTACTCAAGTATTTGACCCACATCGATATGGTCGTCGAACGACACTAATACTCCTGCCGGGCGATGTAGTGATCCGTCATACGTTTTCACCGTGCTCCTACACATTATTTCATTTCATTCTCTAAAGAAGACGAAAGCTCTTAACGGTTTACCGCCTCATCGTGGCTGCGAGGTGTTTCTCGTTGTCAGGCTGCGATGTGCAGTGGGGAGATTCATCCCTGGCAGGGTCTCCCGAGCTGAGGAGTCCATCGTTTCCATCAGCAAGCCCAGCTATAAGTAAACTTATAACGAGATTCACCACCGTCCTCGTAAGGAACTAGTCGCAAAGTGGCAAATTTCTCTCTGATCCACAATGTCGGATAATGCCTGTGGTGGTGATAACCTTGGGGAGACTTTAACCAGGCTAACCTCGGGATTCCAGGGAACTACAAGGGTTAAACCAGCAAAACTCCAAAAGAATGGAAATTATGCTGGGGCCAGCACAACCAGTGAAGACGGGCCATCCAAGTATCCAAGTAAGTAAGGATGACGAAGTCTCAGAAAGTGTATATCAAAGAGATTTTAAGAGATATAGTAGCACAACAGCTTGAATAACATTAATATCAATAATACCTCATAAGCAAACGAAAAGTTGAAAAAGATTAATAAAAAATAATACGCATTAAATACCAACACATTATTCTAGGAAACCATAAAGAAACCATTCCAGACATGACCCTGAAGAAGTGACCATTTATAGTAAGCTGGCTTATCCTTCGACGAACTAAGAACGGTTTGAACAACATGGGTGAAAAATCGATAAATCCATGGAGGAAATGAGAAGAAAAGAGGTGGGAACGGTTAAGGAATGTGAAACGAGTAGAAAAAATCGTCTAAATTATTCAAAAACAACAAATACCGTATTTAATTAATTAACAGACAGGCAACCTGACGTCTACTTAACTCGCCATTGTTGATGAGGTGCGTATCGATCGGCGTCATAACAAGGATAATGCGCAAAAGGCGGTTTATCGATCGCAGTATTGCTAGTATTGATTTTTTTTCTCGATGATGAAGAAGAATACGCGTGAGAATGCAAGTTGTAATAGTGCATGAGACGTAATATCTTTGTATTGACTTCATTATTGGTTCGTTCTACTCTATTTATAGAAGCAACAGCAGAAAAAGGGTAGGATTGATTCGTTTTCCTTTTTTTCTGAGTTTATGTCATGTAGAAACATTTATGAATCTGAAAAGAGAACATCTCCTGGAGAGAAGACATTAAGAAGAGAATACGAAAACCTGCACTTGGCTAAAAAGACATCGCGCCGATCGAAGCAAGTTCAAGTTTTTAGCGACACGCATCGAAAGTGCACTTATGGTTCGATCGATAGTGAGATCAGAATCGATTAATTTTGCTCGAACATATCCCTTTATTTTGCCGATGCGCATCAAAAGCGCACTTACAGTTCGATCTATAATGAGATCAATATCGATTGATTTCGCTCAAAGGTATCCTTTTGTTTTGCCGACACCCATCAAATGTGCACTTATAGTTCGATCGATAATGGGACCAATGTCAATCGATTTCGCTCAAACATAAACCTTTTATTTTGCATCAAAAGTGCACTTGTGGTTCAATCGATAACGGAACAAATGATTGTCGCTAGACTATTATAATCCACCTAATTCTAATCCGCTCAATCTTTAGATGGTCCGTGAGGTATTATGCACAGATGAGAGGGCTGGCAATGGGACAACGACTGGCACCAAGCTTTGCCATTGCATTCATGTCTAAGGTGGAAGCGCCAGTAATCGCCCTCGGTCCGTTACTCTATTGTAAATATATAGATGACTGCTTGTCATTTGTTCAGTACAAGAGGAAATTGACAGATGTTTCAACTTGTTGAACGAACACTCAGAGTATATTAAATTCACCCCAGAGAAACCAAAAGAAAACTGGCTTCCATTTCTGGACGTACAAATTAGCCTATCAGAAAACGGCTACATTACGAAATGGTATCGAAAGCCAAGTAGTAAAAACGTACTTCTTTATTAGCTCTCCTCTCACCCTTCTCACACGAAAAGAGCGCTTGTGAGAAACATGTTTGGAACAGCTACCAGCGTGTGCACAGGAAGATGGTAGAGAGAGGAGTCCCAGAACTTGGCGCGGCAAATAGCCATTTTTAATGGCTACGAAGCTGTAGCTCGAAATAGGTGTAGAGGAAGGCACAGGTACCCCAACGATAACTCTAGCGACAATAAGGTCCCGTTTATACTGCCCTTCATTTCAAATGCTGTAAATGCAGCTATAAAACGCCGCTTAAGAAGGGAAGGTCTAGAGAATTCGGTAACGATAACTGAAACGCCACCGCTAAACTAAGACGCCAGCTAGTTCGTAGCCGCCCAAATGACCGTCTATGTGCAACGCAAAATTGCATAATTTGCCGGTAGAGGTATGGTAGAGACGGTGATTGCATGACTTCGGGTACAGTCTATCTGATCTCTTGTAAAGCGTGCGGGGACGAATACATTGGCGAAATGGGTCGACTATTCTGCGTTCGTATAAAAGACCTAGTCGGTAAACTTAAACCATTTGGTTTACTCCACTAGGCACGCAGAGGACGCAGAGACATAACGAAGAAGATTTTGAAGTAGGGATTACGATCCTCGTACAGGAATCGAAAACACAAACTCGCAAAACTGTCGTGGCATTCTGGATTGATTCCAAAAATTTGGAAATGAACCGCAGGGAAGAATGCCCCATTATCACGCGTGATATTTGGCAGTATATAAGCCTGTTATTCCGATGGGATGTGCACATTACGCTTCCATGTGAGCTCTGTGCGGTTGGTTTCCACGTGGCACATTCAGTGGAAGCCTCATAGAAAGCGGTAAGTGTACAAAGAAGCTACTCTCTGTTCACTGTGATTGAAATTTGGTTTTAGCATTTTCTGTGTTTGGTTGTGGAGGTGTTTGGCTTGGTAGATTGCTGTCAACCTGACCTTTCCAGGGCTCTGTGGAAGGCGAATTCCGCCAAAATGTTAGCTTCTGTGTAAATAAAGAAATAAAATAACACATCGTGTTTACTAAACAGAAATATAAAGAACTAATCCACTTAGTTCTTTTCACTTATTGTATCCCTTCCCTTAGAATCGCTGCGTAGAAGGTTCTCTGTATCTTACTTTATACACATTTCTTTACTTGCAATCGGTCGGTCTCTACATCTTTACCTATAATTCTCCTTCTTTTTGTGTTCCTTTTTTTGCGTTACAGTTCGCTTCCACTCCGTGTTCATCCTTCATCCTCTACCGTTCTCTTTCTCTCCCTTTCCGTTTCCCGCCCTCTTTATCTTCCATCTCTTCGCGTCCGATCAGATTAATTGCTCTATTACAATCGCTATGATGCTTAGATATTTGCAAAACTTGGATCCCAGGCCAAATTCGAACCAGCGATTACCTTTCCCGGGGCCTTACGAGGTAGCCACTGCATCACAGAGGAGCTTGCTTGTCCTTTCTTTCAGCCATAATTTCTCTACTATCTTCTTACGTCTATCGTTTCTGTGTATTCTGGGTCTTCATCGTTCTCCTTGTTGGTTACCTGAAACTTCGAAACCTGATAAGTAAAAACGGCAATTGAAACACAATACTTTTTTACTTGATCCGTGTTGTACGGATCGCAGAGCTTATTGCATTCGATTCGGTTTCTGATATCCGTGAAGGTCTTTGAATTTTTGCATGTCCGTTCGGCTGCTGCTTTTGGATTTGTGACCTTTTCTCTGAATGTCGTTGATTGCTGGTGGAGTTAATTCTCCTTAGAATCCTAGTATAGTTGTATCAGGACGTACTTTTATTTTCATTTTAGGAGATCGTTGGTTTTTACGGGTTACATGGAGTGAACCGATCCCATACATGTCTGCCATCAATTTCCGGACTCCGATAACACGGTGAGACTGGTGACCCTCGAGCAGGAATGAACCAGCGACTTACTGGAAACTGATAATGTTGTCTTTAACTAAACCCTTTTGTTGTACTTCTGATTTTCTCCTCTGTTAGTGGTCAAGAACCAGTGATCTTAACGTAGAGTAAAGTACAACTATGTAGCTAAAAACTGACTCTTGTTTAACCTTGGCATAAATAATCAAGACGTTTATTACGACGACGAAGATGTCACATGGAGAAGACGAAAGCCTGTACACCATCGGCTCTGATGAAGACGAAGACGTCAAAACCTCAGCCGAATAAACTAATTTATCAACCTCTTGTAAGCTCGACAATCTAAACACATGTTATTCAACACGTTTTTGGACAATTGAGGTTACAAGGGGCTCGTAACAAATAGTTATTCGACTAACGTTTCGACTTCCTCGTCTTCTTCACAGCCCCACGCTTGAGTATGATTTATTTGTTTTTCGGTGAAAGAATCTTGAACGAATAGATTAGGATGAATGGCAATTCATTCTAGAATACTTTCTTTCTGGAGGAAACTTAACCGTAATTGTTCTGAAGCCATTTGCAGCATTTTTGGGAAGAGTATGAGAACTATATGGAACGCTTACTGATTTGTTCAAATGGGTTACCGATAAAACTGGAAGACTAGCTACTGTTGTTATGAGCTACCTACTTGTGCATAGTACGTCTTTTGATCGATAGGATCTTAAAAACGATTGATAATAGCCAAAAATAAAAAGATGGATACATTCGACAGGTAGCCTAGACGTTTTTGTACAGAAACCAGTTGAGTTTTCCATGAGACAAAGTAAACGAACTGAATAAGAAGGATAGAAATTCTATGAACGAAGAGGAGATGGGCAAAAGAGTCACATTGTCGAATAAACGGAAATGAAACACTAAAGCTTTGCACTGTCGCCATCCGGTCCAGCATTACTAGTTTGCCTTCGTACAATGAACTCTTCAGCAGCCAGTCAGTCAGCTGGCAGACCTCAGACACCGTCATGACACTTACCAAATGAACCGGACATCCATCATTATTACAGCTGTATCCTATGTGTTCATGTTGAACTATTAGACAAAAGGTGGACGCAAACATTTAGCTCGACAGTGAAAACCTGTTCGAATCGCGAGAAGAAACTGTTAACAAGGATTTGAACTGAGTTTTGAATATCCCACCACAGCAACCACCTTAGTATCTCCATGAATTCCACGAATTTCTTAACTAATCTGCGGTTATGTGTATGGAGCAGCTGACACGCAATAATAGACTAGAGAGGTCGTGTAATGCTGTGGTTGGAGATGCCGGATAATACGCACGTGGTCGTTGGTTCCATCCCGCGTCTTGGTCTCACCAAGTCTTCCGTATCTCTGCAGGTCTGCAAATTTTTACAAGAGTTCTGTGGGAGGATAGCAGCACTGATCTAATATACCGTCGAACTACGAGAAGTCATTGTGCGGGACGGATATGCGTACAATTACCTCTACGAAGCTTGGTGAGCCCGAATGCATGCCTCATCCCTCTGGGATTCATCAACGCAGAATGCTTCATCCTTTATCCTTCGCAGACTAAATACTCATAGACGTTTTGATGCAAGACAACATACTGATTAATTCGCACATCAGTTAACAGTTCCAGTCCAACCCGTTCCACGTCACTTCTCTGTGAACTTAAGGATAGGATACACACTTGTCTTCCGATATAAGCGAGTTGTTTAATAAAGACGTTTTCATCACGTACGTTCTACAAGTGTCATCCATGCCAGGAAGGTGTTCAGTTTCGTGGGGAAACTAACCTGTGTTAGGACTGAACAATCTGCTTGTCAGCATGTTAACTTTTCCTTTTCAATCCCGTTGAAGGGTGATTGCTGATGGCACTGGTAAACAGAAAACTAGCTGGAAGAAAGGGCGAAACGAAAGACGCGAACGTTGTTGGTAAACTCAGTCTCCGGAAGGGGTAATAAAGTGTTCTATCCACACTGCAGACACCTACGGTCTGGAGTTTTTCAGATATCTCAGTATCATTATGGTTGTATCCCATCCATCATCATTTATGATAATGCTTATAGGTGGACCGTAGTCATGACAAAACCCATACTTGAGCGACCAAAAGGCCGTCCAAGACACAGGCAGATATTGCCTATTATGAAAACTTGGAAAAGGTGAGTCACCATATGAAAATGAAACATTGAAATCCTCCATTTCTGAATTATAACGTTCACGACACAACAGACAATCCACTCAACTACTACAGAGACCTACTTAGACCCATTCGTAATACTGCTGTTTTGTTGATAATTGGCCAGTAACTTTTCAGTAACCAAAGTATTTGAAGACTTAAGTTACATGTTTTCTTCCTTGTTGAGCAAACATTAGGTTGTTAATGTAGAGTTTTTTCAACTGTGATTGCTGCTTCGGCTGTTTCACTTTCTTAAGAACATAGAAGGATCAAATTGGCATGGAATCTACTCAGTCACTTTCATGACCTGAGCAGAGAAAAAACTTAATGCTAAGGTTTCAGTAGTATGGAAAAAAGTTGCTTCTTCTAAACATTGTTTTGTTCTTTATAAGTCTTCTACTACTTGATGGAGACCAACCGCACAGAGTCCAATATACCTCTCTAACGTTAAGAAGTCGGTCTGACGTATCTGGTCGCCCGTGGTCACAAGGCAGTTCTTCGACCGGTTCACTTTTGGATTCTTCGAATTTATCAAAAATGCTTCGAGGATTTTGCGTACTGAAGTCGTAGATTCCTGTTCAAGTATGGTGACTTCTGCTCTACAATATTCTCCGTTATGTCTCGGTGTCCTATGCGCGCTTGGTGGAGTATTTTTCAATGTTTGAATTTACCAACCACGTGTACTTTTATACGGATGCAGAGTAGTCTACCTGTTTCGCTAACGTATTCGTATCCATCTGCTCTATAAGTCCTGTAAGAAGCTGCTGAATAAACTTTAACAACTTTGTATTTGTGCAACAAGAAAAGCAAAGAGGACAAAGCTGCCGGCGTTGATCAACTCCCGAAGGACCGTGCGTTCGACTTTGTGGAACGTCGTTGGTGATTGAATGCATATCTGGCATTTCCAATCTCGTGGTAGCCTAACCTTGTATCCAGCAGTGCAGCTTTCCTCCCAGACCAGTCTGGCACCAATTTACCGACCTCGGCGAGATGGAAGGCTTGCTAAGCCACGTGCGCGAGGATCAATCCCATGTGTGCGTCGTCCCGAGAAAACAGTAAAGGACTTTTTCCTGAATACTAGCTTTACTATCATGGAACCGAACACTGGTGCCTGGAACTGGAACCATATTGTTCTGGTGTATCAAATCCAACTTGAACAGTCGTTCTGTTGTTTGAAATTCGAACCGTGATACTAACGAGCGAGAAAAATCAGGCGTGGTGAACTCCAGAAGCCCAGTGCTCCATCGTGGAAGAATAGATTAGCTTATATCTTATTGGCAAAGATGTGTATATTCCAACTGCTTTTATTTCAAATAATCAACTTCGTTCTGATCCGAATGCTTACAACTGAAAAGACTTGTTATTTCCATCTGCGGCGATGTAAACGAGTACCTTCGCGGATACTTTATATTTTTTTAAGCAAACACAAAACTACTTTTACCACTGAAGGACTGACTCGAGCTCGTGATCAGTTACGATAAGTAGAACTCGACTATGTTAAGCTTTAAGTATGAATGAAAAGACGAAGTATTCGTAATACACAGGTTACAATCTCAAGTTCCGAGGTTCCGAGTCTTGTACCATCTAGACACTGGCAATGCAAATAATCTTATGTGATCATAAATATAGCACATATAAAATCTAATGAGAAATAAAGGAAAGATCAACATGAAAGAAATTATTACCAAAGGAGACCTCGTACTCAGATAATACAGGAGCCTAAAGAGGTACAAAATGAAGTGAGATTCAGATTAACCGAGAGGAATAGATCAGTAGATGTCTAGATCTGATCAAGTTGGTAAGTACTGGACAAAATGTATACGTTATAAAAACGAATATGGCATTATATATACGTATATATGTATATATATAAATATATATAAAGAATCAACAAGGTCAGTTGTAAGAATTAGTCTATCTTTCACGATCGCATACAGTGACTAGATGGGAATGGTGCTATCGGTTAATCAACGATTCCAGCTTCAAGTCTATAACAACTGCTTCGAATTGACCGAGTTTTCGTTCATTATGCTCCTAAACACATAATGATAACAGAAAATATTACCAAAAACGAAAAGAAAAGAGACCAGTGAAGGAAGGTATTCACCTCCAAGTAGGAACGGGCATACTTCAAAAAGATATTCAGATCTGCCGCAAAGGATCGCAAAGATGAGTACTGCAATGGCCCAAATTGCAGTTCAGCATAACAAGCGCAAAATTTGCCGCATCCTACCGTAGTTACTGCATCCTCTAAGGCATTGATAGAAGAAGGCGCTGCTCGTCTGGTTGTCCGATTAGGCGGTATATTTTGCAAGGTACGATAAAGGCGACTGGATGACTTGATTCTACTCAAAAGTTCGGTACATTCCTGAGTGAAAGACTGCATGTTTTAACGAAAGCATCTTGAAGAGTTCTGTATGGAAAAAGTGTAAGAAATGATAATGAAATTAAAAATAAGAATAAGTTTCTAGAAATTCAATATACCGTAGTAACTGAATTTGATTTTGCGCGTTTTGCCCGCGTTTGTTTATCGTTTACATGGTTTTCATAGCAACCTTCCATAAATCGTTTTCGAGCACACTGAAAAATAGCTGCTATCAGGGAACAAGAGGAGTTCACAGATTTCTCCATCACTCTTCAGACCTTGTTTGGAAGGTAATCTTCAACTTCAGTTTCTAAAGCATCGATCAAATTTTCACAGTATTCAGCGCCATTTGAGTCCAAGTAGTCATTTTCAGATTCATCTTTCTTGCTCTTTGCCTCCACGTGCTTGCAATTCCCACACAGCCAGCTTTAACAGGAAGGTTTAGTAAGTAGTGATTAATCACAAAGGAAAACCAACGGTAATCTAATCACATAGACGTTGGAAAGTTTCCATATTGTACAACGATCATATTACAATAAAACAAGAAAACTTTAATTAAGAACAAATCTAATGCATATCACTTACGAAGTGGGCTTTTCTAGCAGTTTTGGTCGTGTACAGTAGTAATGAATGACAAATGCGCAGTTTCCACAGCTAATTTTTGACTCAGGACTTCGTTTGCTACCGCAGGAGTTACATCGCTAAATATAATTAAAACAATGTTCTTTTATTTGCTACCAACTAAAATTTTTCAAGGTAGGGTATGATGTGAAATACAACCACAACGATGCTAAGATAATCGCGAAACTTGGACCCCAGGCCAGATGGAACCACGATTACCCTTTCCGAGGACTCGCGTATTACACAATTCACCACGGAGGCATTTGCTTTGCGTTTCTTTCAGCTAGTTTTCTACCTAACGCTGCCATAAGCAATCACCCGTTAATAATTAAAATAGTAGAATAATAAGAACTTAGTGTAGGGTATATGCAATACTGTACCTAAAACAAACTGATGAAAGCTCAACCAAAAGAAGCACAAATCAACCAAGGAAAGCATCGCACGAAGTGTGAACGAAAACATGGATAAAACACCAACACACCTTTTCAATAACACTGCTTCTCCAATGTACACGAGAATCTAGATAGCTTCGGAGAAGGTGCACACCCGAAGCATTATGACACTCAGACAGACGTTGTTTCCACCGATCCAAAATCATTACACTGTGTTGACCTCAATACGACTGCATAATTAATGGAACCAAAACACCCATATTATTTGGAAACGCTAGAACTACTCGGCCATTAATGTGTCGATAAGATGAATTGAAACAATTACTCGCTCACTCAACTACGCTGAGAACCACGGTTTGTTCTATTATAAGATACCTTTACAAACTCATTGTTCGCACATTGTTCAATTCAGCTTTGTTAAATCGTGTAAGTGCCCTTAAACCGAGAAGACTCGCTCTATTAACAACTATGGATCAGTCATGTTGTTTTATCGACCATCTGCACGTAGAAGAGGAATACCACAAGAAATTGATGCGATATTTCAACTTCACCGCAAATGAAGTGCTAACATTTTCTATTACAATTGCTGCAAGCAAGCGGTTTAAAGAGTATGTTATCAAACACTTCATAATACTTCTATTAAAAGACAAAAAGAATAAATCTTCCGGGGATGATCAGTCTCTAAAAGATGCACCGTTTATTCAACACCATTAAGCATCGTTTGGAGGTGACTGAATGCATATCTGGCCTTTGCAATGGCTCGCGGTGGCCTACCGTTGTATCGAGCCAGTGCTGCTTTCCTCCAAGACAAATCCCGTGCCAATTTACCGACCCCGGAGACCAGAGAGATGGAAGGCTTGGTGAACCTTTGGAACGGAGATTGATCTCGCGTGTTATTGAAGGACGCATCCAACCGCTGCGCAAAATGGGTCCTTCAATATTTATATCAACAGTCGGAAAACGGGGATCCTAAAGGTGTTAACAACCCACAAGTTTATTGGTGCTAATTACGCTTTTTTCCGTTAAGTAATTTGTCGTGTTCAAAGGGCCACAGCAGTTAGAAGATGGGAAACCACATGATCAGTAGACTACCGCGTCTTGCGTAATTACATTTCGTCAAATAATCAATACTCGGAATGACATGTACAAGGAAACTTTTTAGATAAGAAGTTGTACAATAACGAAACAACAACTATTCTTTAAACCACCCGTCTTTGAAATCTACTGCGTAGATCCCAGCATTTCTTCTATTCGATTCGTTTCCCCACAACGATCATCCATGAAGCTCTTCCAACTTTTTGCGTGTAGATTCGACTACTGCTTAAGAATTTTCCTTTCGTTGTGAATGTCGTTGAATGCTGGTTGAACCGATTATTCCTGATGTCCTAAGTTAGCTGAGCTAGAGCATTCTTAATTGGATTGCAGAGAGTGATTTTTTCCCAGACAAGTCCAGTACCAACTTCCGGAACCCTGAAGAGATGAGATGCTCGGTGAGTGCACTGGACAATGAAATCAGCACCGTGGTCATGACGATCAGCATCGGTAACTGCGCTACTCATCCCGGTTGGCACACCATAGGTTCCCATATTACAGAACATCTCTCTTCTCGTTTGAACTTGCACTAAGAATTAAGAATCTATTAAGATTATATTTATGCAAAAAAAAAAAAGAAAGATGGGTACATCGACATTTGTATACACCATATCTACCAGCTACGTTTTATTCAAGGCAAAATTCTCGTGTGATGGTGCCTTGAACAGAACGGATGGAAATGTGTTATCACAAAATGGATCAATTTCAGCGCGTAAGTTGGTTGCTTCACTTCGTAACGGACAATGACTTCAATGAAGTTTATCGAAACTTGTGTGAATGGATTTCTGGTGTAAATGTGGACTTCTTCCATCAAAAACATCCCGCATAGGTCAAACCACTATCGAATCAGTCTCCTTAGCTCTGGAAGTTATCTCCTTAGCTCTGAAAGTTTCTAACAGCTAACAACACAATTCTATTTATGCACCATAGTTTATATGATCAATTGAAACAAGGACTACTGTTATGCCTAGATCCTTTTCGAGGTGATACAAATGTTTCTGTCCTACCACGATAAATCCCCGGTAATTTTTCAAATTCGAACATAAAATGAACTTGAAACGGAAGCAGCATCCTACAACAGCTGCGTTCACTCTCACAGAGACAAACCAAAGTTTCTTCTATGAGCCTATTTAATCCTCGGCGCCTCTAGTGCTCTAGTTATCGAAAAATCGGGAATATTCATTGTGTGAAGCATACTGAGCTCAATTTTTCACCAGTAACTGATTACTGTTTCACTTCCAACCGCCAACACTACAGTATGTAATATGTGGGATATCAAAATGCGAAATAGATCCAATACAAATTGCCAAGCAGACTTTCAATTACTGGTAGTAACCAGGTTGGATTGTGTACCACAGTAACATATATTAAATATTTAACATGTACACCTACATTCAGTAATAACAATATATAGGCTTTTGAGTTCCTAACTCCTCAACTCCTCTAGTAATCGAAAATCATCATCTATTACCGAAAAACCAGCATGGTCCACTTTATGCTCACAGCCACGAGCTTGAATATTTCACCAAGTCGACTTCAAAGTGCCGTGCTGTCTCACACAGCCCCCAGGTAAAATTGGGACTCTGGTGTTAGGTGTTCAAAAACTTATTAGTTATTAACTAATTATGAGTTCAATGTTTTTCATCAATAAGCAGACACGAGGTTGTTAATATAGAATTTATTAGAACACAATTGCTGACGCCGAAACGTCCTATATTAGTACCTATATTAGTATGTAGACAATATGTCCCATGAACACCATGGTGGTCGCACGGCCAGATGTGACAAATTAGCTTCAGTAGAACGTTTCTGACCCATAGTGAAACAAAAACAGAAACACTCTATTGAGAAACTAATTTGTCACATCTGGCCGTACGAACACTATGGTACTCATCGAGAATCTTAATCTTTTTCTAAAAACGAATGATAGGCATTGCCTGGCTAAAAAAGAGCCTTGTGCGTAGATAATATGCCAATAAACTAAAACTGCTATCTCTACATAAAGCAATATTTCTCACACCAGCATATTTTGTTTGATCGCAGCGAATAAGTACGATATGATTTGTTACAAAAAACACTACTGAAGAAATCCAACTCCACTTGCTGTTAACTTTCTGCAGCAAAGTAGTAGAAGTGAAAACGGAGAAAAGAAAAAAGCTAAACAGGCTCCTACCGGTTTGCAAAGCAAATTTGAAATCCAAACGCCGCACAATGGCCGATGGTGTAATCGTATCAGCAAGCTCGCATAGCTTTTCTTTCTATAAAACAAAGACAACCACTTAACTTCTATGTAGTCCTTCACTAGGAATAGAACCTACGACTTCGGATAAAGTTGTGCAGGAAGTCATCTCCACTTCAAAGGCGTCCAGCGAACCCATACTTGTTAAATAACTGCTTCTTAAATCAGAAGCTAATTGTACGATAGACTTTCGCAGGGGCGTCATTGAATCGGCACTGATGTCTTCGTCATCACACACATCATCAAGCTGATCTGGCCTGAAAGCATGTATTGAGCGTCGTAACACCAGCAAAAAACAACAACACATACTTTTCACGTTGCCATCTGTTTGCATTAGCCATGCTGCTAAGGATGACATCTTTTTTCTTCAAGAGAGACTAAAAAGTAGTTACTGATTAGTGCATCCGACTATGCAACAATCAACAGTAATAATCGTTATAAAGACTACCGCTTTCAACTTCCCTTCCCTAATGCCAACTTTGCTGAGAGAGTTTACTAGATTTTCAAACGATTTCTCATCCGGGAGTTTGCGCCAGAGCTCAGTACAACTAGAAAAAACCACAGCTCAAAGATTGATGCAGGCTAGAGTAACAGGAATAGATAAATTTCGCACCTTTCAGGTACGAAATCTGGCCAATCGTTGGTCGTGTTGGCTCCTTCTGACAAAAGATCGCAAGCTATTGACGTATGGAATCCATTCTCATTGTGCTGGTCACATATTTGAATACAATTTTGATTGCACTCATCAACATCCAGCTCGAATGGCTTTCCTGCTCGAATGCATGCACGAACAAACTTTTCATAAGCAGATACTCCCATCTAAAATAAATAAAAACTTTCTCAGTTTAAAAAACAAAAACGAATATCAACTACGCGGACTCACATCCTGGATCCATATACCATCATCTGCCGACTTTCCATTTAACCAAAAGTAACGACGGAAATGGCGATCCTCTCCAATGGGAACAACTCTTTTTGAATGAGATTTAGCCAATCTCTCAAACTGGAAGTAGGGATTCTTTGTGAAAAATAAAAGATTGCGTTTGCTGAAGTTCTTTAAATGAGGACAAACTTTAAGCTTCTCGAACAGCTCATCCACTCTATCCTTTATTCCTGCAATTTTCCTTTCTACTATTTCGCGCTGTCTCTGTAGTTCCGCTCTCTTGAGAGTTTGAGTGCGGGATAACAAAGAAAGATCGACATCCTCGAGTTTAGGCATGGAAGAGAGCCCTTCTTGTAATGAGTTGATCTGAAACTTCGAGCATTCCTTCCAAGGACCGAATTTCTGTTAAAAGCGGTATTGACCAACAATTTACCCTTCTCCTAGCGAAAAGACAAGAGGTTACTATTACACTGTTTATTAACGACTTTGTCTTCTTTAAAGCTTTAAAACGATGTGCAATCTAGTTCCTTCTTCTAAAAGCTTCAACTGCTTGAAGAAGCCGTTCTGGTGCGATTGAAATTCAAGTTTTGGATTTTACTGCTGAAGAAGTTATGTGGTAGATAGTATAGATATATATAGATGTAGTACATAATAGGAAAAGTTGTTGAGGTGACAATTCTAGGATCTGAAGACGGCAAAATCGATAAACAGTATAGTACAACATATATTGTATAATATAATAACGTGTCCGCTCATCAAGAAAACGGTAAAATAATAAATGTTCAGTGTGTCCATAGATATCAAAAGTCCAAACCTGCTCATTAAGTTTCTTTATTTTATCTTGGAAATTCCGAGCTCTCTCAATGGATCGATCTTGACTTATGTAGTCCTAAACAACTGAGCGATAGCTACCGTATTAACATACTTGAAACTTAAATTCGAAAATAATGAAGCAACGAAAAGAAAAAGTAAAAAAAAAACGCAGCGAGCCTTGAATGAACGAAGTTCAAGCACGCGATTGACTACCAAACCGAGAATTCCCAACTGATCTTCAGGGCTCAATTCCCAAAGTTCTTTTTCCGGCGAAAATCGGTCGAGAAAAGTTTGGCAAACGTCCTAAAGTAGAAATTATATATATATAATCATTTATGCGATCTTATGAACTTATCTTCTTAAGCTGACGCGAGGTTGGTACAGATCTTCGTTGTCGTTGTCGTTGTTTTTGATGTTATTGATCGATGGCTGACGTTTCGGCGACTTCGCCTTCCTCAGAGCCTGGACGTACTTCATGTTAGAATACTTTTTATTATTCGGTGGAAAAGAAGGTTAAAGTATTAATGAAGATCAAACTTTCAAATAGACCCAATATTGAACAGAAAGACCCCCTCAATAATCGTTACATAATTTTCAAGACCACATTGACATCCCACCCAATACCCTATGCCGCTCTATGATCGTTTGTGCATCTCAGAAAACTGTATGATCTGTCCTAACGGGAGAGACGGGGATTGCATGAGTTTAGGTATAATATACCTTATCTCATGAAATGCATGCGGCGAGGAATATATCGGGGAAACGGGTAGACCACTTTGTGTCCGCATAAAAGAACATCTAGATGGAAAAGCTAAAATCCGTTTAAACACAAAAGCACAACGGCGATGATTTTGAAGTGACTGTGCGGATCCGAGCGCAGGAATCGAAAACATCAACGCGCAAAACTCTTGAGGCGTTTTGGATAAATTTAAAAAGTCCAAAGATGAACCGGAAGGACGAATGCCTCACTAACACGCGTGACCTGGCGCCCTATTTCAAAATGATATTTTGACCCCGGGGCGTGTCTGGCTCGCGACTCCACGTGAACTACGTGTGGGCCAGTTCCGCACGTAACATCACGGTGAGTGGCCTTTCTGTTCAATATGGCGTCTATTTAAAGGTTTGATCTTCATTAACACTTTAACCTTTCTTTTCCACCGAGTAATAGAAATATTCTAATATAAAATACGTCCAGGCTCCTAGGCGAAGTCGCCGAAACGTCATCCATCGATCAATAACATCAAAAACAACGACAACGACAACGAAGATTTGTACCAACCTCGCGTCAGTTTAAGAAGATCAGTTTATAAGATCACATAAATAAATATATCAACTATCTATGCCGAGGTTTATAGAAAGTCGGTCTTTCATTTTATATATATATATATATATATGCATACATATATGGGGGGCATGTGACGCAGTGGTCTGAGGCACCCTGCAACACACAGAGGGAATCGGTCCCCACGCCCATGGCCCGCCAAGCCTTCCATCTCTCCGGTGTCAGCAAATTGGTACCACACTCGTCTGTGAGGATAGCAGCACCAGGACGTCGGGCTTCCCTCCACACACACATATACATTTTATATATATATATATATATATATATATATATGCATATACGTACCATATATACATATAAATTAATTCGGCGAATTCATTTCACAAATCCAGGCTTGGACGTAGTGTATAGCAAACGGCCCGAAACCTTAACGGGGTATGTGGGCTAAGGTTAGCAAAACGCACAGTGCGATAGGTACTAAAAATTTCGTCGTGACAAATTCCATTTTGAAATCGACGGAGGCCGTGGACGTGCTCTTATTATTGACAAAGTTGTTTGAAGGTTTTTTTGGAAGCAAATACAGGCGCAACTGTTCGAAACAGGCAGAAAAAATCAATGCGATCATTTCACCTGCATCAGAGAAACCCAAAAAAGATGGAAAATCAAAGGAGCTCAACAAATGAATGCAGCACAGTAAATGATATGAAATTCAAAGAACGCCGTTCCGCACTCCTTCTGCGCAACAATGTAGACCCGTTTCTCAAACGCATTGTGAAATGCGACAAGAAATGGATCCTATATGACAACCGGAGAAGATCCGCTAAGTTACTTAACCCCAACGGATCTCCGTAGTCCTTTATAAAAACGGTACTGTACCAAGAAGGTTATGCTCTTTGGTGGTTCACTATTGGATTAAAGCGTTGCAACTTGCTTAATCCGGGTGAAACGACTGAAATGGAGAAGTACGTCCAGCAAATCGACGAAATGCACCAGAAAGTTCGGGGCCGCGTACTGGTCAACAGCAAAGGATCAATTCTTCTCTATAATAAAGCATAGCCACAAATCGCAACAGCGACACTACAAGGGATGAACTAGTCGGACTACGAAACTCTACCTTACGCACCACACTCGTCGGACATCTCGCTATTGAATGGGATTTCTTCAATTGTCTCGACAGATTTTTGCGCAAGAAAGGCTTCAGAAATCAATCGGTGTTCCGAGATGCCGCTGCATCCAACGATATATGTATATATAAAGTTACATACTACACACATACATAAAGAAATAAATGAACCTTTAAAAATATGTGAATGGAAAATAGGAAGCTAGTCCAACTCAACCCAGAAATCCTGAAAACTCATCCTAAATTTATCTCATAAATAGGGTAACATTACTAGAAATTTCAGGGGACTTTATACTAAATTCAAGCAATCTACATATGTATGATGAAACAAATATAAAACACATACAATATCGATTTGCGACACGTCGTTAAAGTCGCAAGGGGTGGCGGATCCACTACCACGACTATTCTCCTGTTCCTCATTTCCATTAATATCACCTTCGTCTGAACACCCACTTCTCCCTTCTGCCTTGCGAACCTTTCTAAATTTGCAGTTTTATAAGTGCACCACTGGAGAATGAAATAAGATTGTTTATAAAAGATAGAGTAATTAAATCTGGACAAAAATTTTCTGCTACACGAAAAACATCTCTTAATAACATAAAATTTCACATACTCCTCTCCTGAAACTAGGTTTCCTATAAGGAGTGCACGACATAATTCCGAGACTGTGTCCTCTTCAATGGCAAATTCTTGAAGAGGTAGGTTGAAATGTGTGAGACTCTAAAACGAGTGTTCAAAACAACGCATCAAATAACCGTTACCAATAAAACACTCAAACAAGACTTACTCCATACTCAGGATTTTGTATGAGTACTTTTAGAAGCGATCCAAACAGCTTCGCAGTATATCTAACAAAACCTATCCTGCCATCATGAACAGCATCGAAAAGTTGCCCTTAACGTAAATTAGAGGTCAATGCAAAAATGTTTTCAAACAATAAAAACCGACTGGCTGAAATGTTGTGTTCTGCTTCGATAAACTTCCTAAAGGAAGAAAAAAACTGAGTTAAAACGAGGCATTCGGTGAACAGTGCTGACTGTTCACTGGGCACAAGTAGAACACCAGGGCACGGCAATGGTTCGTCACATATTAGAAGGTCTTCTTCAGCAGCATCCTTAAGCAAACGCAATGAAAATAAACGACAACAATGCACGGGAACCTAACCTGGCTGAAATGTGCCTTGATTTTTGCCAACATTATTTTTTGGTACTCGTGTCTTTCTTCATGGATCCTCTTACGGAATTCTGTGCGGGCTTCTTTCGTTCGAATTTTCTTCCTAAACCATCACAAGCGAAGAATGCAACCTATCAATAATGACAAAGCTACAATAACATCAAAAGTAAGACTACGACAAATTCGAACCATAACCACTTTAAACTGTGCCTGTTTGTGAGTCGAAAGTTGGTTTCCAAACAATTAAAAATTGGCTTCAAACATGAGAAACTCTTATTAACATAAAGAAAAGATTTTTATAATAGAACGATTATGACAGATTAAGCCACGACCGAAAATCTCATGAGACCGTTGATATGTAATGTATACCTCCCCAGTAGTAAATTCCGATCCTATCACGCGACCCGGTCACAACCCAAAGAAGCGGAACCTGTACAGAGAAATGTGACAATGGATTCACACTTTTATAGAACTTGCTTCTCATAATGACACGTTTTGGATTCTACCACTGAAAAATTGCGAAACTAGATCATCGAAATGTGAATAAATAGCGGCGATTTGAGTGTTTTTATGGATCCAAAAGGAATTGGAAAGAAAAGACCATAGACTCTACGGCGATACACTTTGGATTCGGTAGGTAGCAGTATAGAAACCACGCTGGATGTTTTTGATCATTTTCTCCGCACGACTAGTCACCAAACGCATGTTTATGATGGGGTGGGTAACGCAGTGGTATTGAAGTCGTTCCTCACTATAACAGTGCTGGCTCGACTCCGCCCCGGTCTCATTAAGCTTCACGTCCATCCGGGATCCGAAAACTGGCACCAAACTTATCCAGGAACAGCTCAACGACATCTATAAAGGCAGCATCAAACAGCAATGAAACCCGCACGCAAAAAGTTCAAAGATCTTAGCAGATGGTAGATGCCAGGGAACGAATCGAATGGTAAACCGTTTAAATCTACAGGTCTTCAGCAACGAAAAATGTGTTTTCTTATCCGACAATGAAGCTTCGATTTTCTCTCTGACAATTCAGACAGCAGAGCAACTAGGGTACAAATGGGATTTTTTGCAGAGCGACTAAACGCTTTTAAAAAAGAACACATTTTCAAGAAACCATACTTCCCCTTACGTCGGCAGAGCACTACGTTTCATAAAGCTACCAAGTCCTCAGTTCCTCAATATTAATGTAATCTAAAAAATACCAACAATCCTCAAAAAACCACATCTGGAACTAAAGGACTAAAAAACGTATCCTTACTAATTCGTGTTTAGTTAATCTTGAAAAACTTAACAATAAATGAAAATTATAAAGAAGGAAACTAACAACATTTCAGCATCCTTAGCTTTAATGTACGCTTTCCGAACGGCAAATCTATAGCACTCGTTAGGAATTCTATCGATTTGAACACCGGAAAGTACCTTCGCGCTCCAAGCAGCGGCGGCAATAAATCCCTGTGAAGAATAGAAACCGATTTAAGAGAAGAAGAATGACCATTGAGTGTTGTAACCCACCTGCTCATCATGTTCACGCCATGTATGTTGCAATTTGTTCATAGCAGAGTTGAACCGTTTTTCACTACGCTTTTGTGGTGCAAGAAAGAGACTGCTACTGGAGTCACCTTTGCTCTCTTCATTTGAATTGGAAATAGAACAGATAAACTTATTTAAACCCTAAAACATTCTTGACTAGAACTATCGCGTTTCTCCTCTATTCCAGATTTAAAAAAATCGGCACAAACCCAAGTGCTATTCTCCTTTTGGACCTTTCCCTTTTCTAGTTTCACTTTCCGTTGCTTTTTCTCCTGTTTTCTCTTCCCTTTATCGACTTCTTTCAATGAAGCACTAGGTGGTAAGGCCACACCACTTCTTCTTTGACCAATAAAATGAGAAAGAGGAGCATCAGAATCAGAATCACTATCTTTCCCATTCTGTAAAAGGTTTAAGAGAAAGATGATTAACAAACCATAGCAATAGCATGCAGAATCTCTAAATCAATTAAAACAATCCAGTTACATAAAGAATTAAGGATTAGTATAAACCCACATTATCTACGTTTTGCTTTGCAGTGCTCGTTATTTTATTAGTAGACTTTATATGGGTAGGTGAACAAAATATCGGTGCTAACTTGTCCTTGATTCCGTACTCTTTCTTGTAAGTCTCCTCAATCTGGAAAGTTAGAGCTTAAACAAAAATAGAAAAGGGTACAAAAGGATCCAACACCATCCTGGCTAGGTGCTCCTGGGTGTCGCGTTGCGATGCACAGCAGGGTGATCTATCCCCCATCATGGCCTCCTATGCTGAGGAGTCCGAAATTTCCAACCGGAAACCCAGCTAAGAGTAAACCAATACGAGGATCCACCGCCGTCCTGGTATCAAAGTAGTCGTATGGTGGTAAATCTGCCCGTGATCTACAAGGGCGGAGACGGCCTGTGGTGGCTACGGTCTCGGGTAGATTTTAGCTAAGCTTACCTCGGGACTCCAGGGAACCACAGTGGATAAACCAGCAAAACTCCGACTCCAAAAAAGTGTAAATCGTGCTGAGACCCGCATAAGCAGTGAAGATGGGACATCCAAGTGCGCAATCAAGTAGGAAAAGAATATAACAGAATCACAGAAGTTCAAAAAAGACATACTACACACCTGCCATGGTCTTCCTGGGTTTTGTGAGCCCATCAGTAACACAATCGACCGAATGTCATCTTCAGTTATTGAGTAACGTCGTCTAAATATGTTATACGTATACTTAAAGTCTACTGTCATTTAAAATGAACTCGGTCGAATGAAAAACCTACTTCAAATCACTTCCATTAATTCGCCCAATTTCTTTGCCATCATACTGAATAGTGTAAAAAACGGCACCACCTTTCTTCTCAACTGCCAACACCTTAGCAATAACGGTCCTGCAAAATGAGCTAATAGCTTAGCAGACCTAGATACAAGGTTATTTTCTTCGGTTATTAAGCTAACACGAGGTTCTCTTCAAAGACGTCGAAAATTCGGTTGGATCAAATCTTTGCCAATCTTTGCCGTTAGCTTATGCTAATTGAAGAAAACATTGATTATTTATGTCAAACCTACCAAATCTTTACGTGATGATAAAAAACACTGATTTCATACATCGGTAGGTTACCAGAAATTATTATATTGGCGAAATATGTACTCAATTACTGCATTATGAGGTCGGATGCGTGAAGCATCTTTCGGGGATTGTTCAATTCCGAAAGATCTATCTTTTCTAACCTTAGTCTAGATACATAAAAAGCTCTTGGCAAGCTCTCAAGCATTCGTCAACCCACGTGAATCAGAATGGCTCTTTGGCTATGAGCTAGGCCTCTTCCAGAATTGCATTGATTCGTCATGATAAACTAATTTTAGCCCTGCTTTTGGTTTGAAAATTTTGAGTCCTCTTGGTCAAAGTGACCCTACTATGGCACATACCCTACTGTACATCACAGTTCGTCACCCAGGAACGCCAAATCTTCGACTGGGCGAAGAATCGCTAGAGGAAGAGGATTAAATTCATTATTAGAAATTAGAGATCCTGTCAACCAAATTAGAAGTGAGTTGGAATCTGTGGAACCCAAACTGTATGGCAGTCACTACACTCCTCAACATACCAGCACATCTTTAAGGGTATAGGTCACATGAACACAAGAAATTGCAGATTGATGTAGTGTTAACAAAAATGCTTACGATAAAAATTTGTACTGCCCAACAATATTCCGAAAATGAGTTTCCCATTTCCATCGAGAAAAATATCAACGCGTCGGAGCAAGTATTTCTAAGATTCACTGTAGTTACGAACTGTATAACACTTAATCTGGAGACGCTATTGGGCCAAAGTACTCCAAAAAAGCAAAATACTGATCACGTGGAAGTTAAAATCAGGACAATATGGAACAATGGGCGAAAAATAATAGCAAAATAGAAAGCATTTACATTGAAAGTAGAAAGTTTGCCCCGTAATAAATATTACCTGTCCTTTGAAGGCGAAAATTCCAGATTCTCACCCTTAACATAGAAGTCCTCGAGATAACTCACAATCGACTCCACGAGATTCTCAAGCGAATAAGTGCCTAGAATGAACAAATAAAGAAAACAAAAATTGGGAAGAAATAAAACAATCACAACTAAATCCTAGCCTGTATAAACCAAAAACAGGAAAAAAAACCTACTATGATGAACTCGATTGCACAATTCCTGAATTACTGGCTTTTCTATCTTTTCGCGCAGATGCATTAGGGCCTTATTGTCCTCCTGCATTGCCTCCTCATAGGATAAGCATAAATTTTTCGGGTTGTGCCGGCACCTCCACTTCTTCGGAGAGTAACTCCTAAATCAATTAATAAAACCAACAAAAAATGTTGTAACAAACACTTTTCAAGAACAAATGGTATAGGAAGCCGATATGCTCCATATATTGCTAACGGATGAAAAGCTTGCGTAATTATTTGCGGGTCCCTCAGTAGTAAAGACCAGGCCCCATTGCGCAGTAGCCTAGTGAAAGGCCTTGGCAAAGAGCCAATAAGCAAACACCACGCAGACAACCACGCCTTCGCGCCATCTGGATCTCCAAGTCTCAATCGAGCAGGGTCCGCGAATAGTCGGACCAGAAACTATAGGATATTACAGGTTAAATACTTGATTTCGAAAGGTCGAAATATCCGTGACACAATCACTTTGCCTCATGGACAGTTGGAATATCTGTACCATAACCAGATTTGCCCATAATGTAAATTTGCGATTATTCGAGTAATGGAGAAGCTACCTAGTTTTCCATTGGATGAACAACAACAATCTTGGAGTAGCATTAAAAATGATAACCATCAACTTATCTTCTACAAACTAAGGACTCTCTAAATGAGAGATTAACCCACCGTTTAGTTGGAAAGTTACATACAGATGATGGACCCTATAACTCCGTTCTGATCATTACACAAATACAGATTTGACGCTGACAGCCCAAACTACCCAGGTGCTGGTTGGACGCCGCTCAAGACCAATCAAGCTTCTCATCTCCTCAGGATCGGAATATTGGTAGCAGACTTGCCTGGGACAAGCTCACTCCCTTCAATCCACGTGGGAACGCCCTAGCACGGGCTACCTCAGTTTTCCAGAGAGAATCGATCTCACCTGCATTCAGTAATATTCACAACGAAGACGAAGAAATTCTTAAGCAGTGGCCGAATTCACACGCAGTGTTCAAGGACCTTCTGGATTTTGAATGCAATAAATCGAATCGAGTACAAAAAGTGCTGCGATCCGCGAATTGTGATACGTGTGCTGTTGGGTCATCCAATAATTGAAATAATAATGAAAATTATAATAATATGCCGATTTACATGCAAATCTTTTACTTCACGATTCATAAAAAGTGTGTTCAACGAAGTGATTAAGAAGTTCAATAAATGAGCTCCAAGTGTCCGGTGAATTACGGCGTTCTTCCAACAATACGAAAACCTAAATCAGATCCCGAGAAGCTAAATGTGAATTCCACGGCCGACTTTCTATTAACTTCGGCATTAATCAAATACTTCTTTACATTCTTGTTGAGCAAACACGAGGTGTTATTGTATTCTTTACTCATTAACAAGGTGTCGTTTCGGCAGATTTCACCTTTTTCAGGGCATGAAAATCTCAAGTTGACCACAATCTACCCAGCCAAGCACCTCCATAAGCAAACAGAGAAAATGCTAAACGAAGATTTCAATCATATTGAACACAGAATGGTTTTTTTGCACACTCATCGCTTTCTATGAGTCTTCTATGAACGCCAGCTTGTTGGAGAATAAATAATAGAATAACACCTCATGTTTGCTCAACTAAATGCAAGTATTTTCAGCCAAAGGGTATCATTCCCCTAACACTAAAAGAACTGCTGATCGGTAGTGCAAAGTAGAATCAATACGAATAAGATGCTAAGATCTCAGGCAATAGGATAATGGAGTTAGAAGTGACAAGGTCCCAAATTAAGGAAATGATGCTGCAGGCTAAAAGGTGATTGTGTACGACGTCATCGAACCTAGGAGACGACTAGACAGCCTATTAAGCATAGTTTTGACACCGAACAAGAGCGGTCTCTTGGAATAAGTATACACCTGGCGGAGTTAGTACTCTCAGCAACATTAATTTGCTTAAAAACATTGATTTCTTATCAAAATTAACTTATCATGAGCTCAATGGTGGTCGTGTACGCCCCAACATTAAATTGCGAGCAAGAGGAAATAGAAGCTTTAAATATGGAGTTCGAATAACTCTACAAGGAAAACTTCACCTTATACAAAATCACCATCAGCGATCTCAACGACGTTTGTGCCAATGTAATATGGAACATAATACATCAAATTGGGACTTATGGCATGAAACAAAATGAACAACGCTAAAGGCTCCATGTGTACGTCGTGACAATCAAGAACATCCAAGTTAACCTATTATTTTGGTACCCTCCCCTTTTCACATTGAACATGAAAGATTCTCAACCGTACGTGATACATTGACGTCGGTAACTTACCTAATGTTTCTATTTTAAAAAAGTTCTGCACGACTACAGACCACCGCACGCTCTTTAAGAACAAAGCAAACAACGTCGAGATTTTTTACAGTCACGAAGAAAACAGACGCCTTATCCAAAAAGGCAAGAAAGTAGGTAAACCGTGTCTGCACCACCATCTCTTCGACAGCAACGTTCAATCGTATCATTAAAATATAACAAACAATCGGTACATCTTCCCAACGTTTCAACCGAAATAGGACACTCTTCTTAGCCAAGAAGAATCCTATTGCCCGCAGTCCTGGCATAATCAGACCCGAACATATGAAGGATCTACCGTTATTATTCCTCAACACACTGTCAGTCCGTCCACATGCTACCTGTCAAAATTCAACACTCCTAGCTAATAGGAAACCAGTACGAACGTTTTGTTGCACAACTGAACTACATGGACACTCAGCGTTCAGCCTGCAAGCCCTACCTTTCCCAAAACGATTCATAGGACATGAGATAACGAACTACATATATATATATATATATATACATATATATGTATAATATACATATGCATGTACACAAACATATGGACGTATGCAAATGTATACGTAGGCACATATATACATTTATATACATTTACATATATAAGGGCACGTGTAGCGCAGTGATCGGAGGTGCCCTGCAATACAAATGGGATCGATCCTAGCGCACCAGACAGACTCACAAAGCCTTCCATGTCTTCGAAGTCGTTAAATTGGTTCCAGACTTGTCTTGGAGTATAGCAACACTGTTTCGAAACACCGGTAGGCCACCGCAAGACTGTAAAGGCTACATATGCATTCAATCACCTCCAACGATGCTTAACAAAGTAGAATGCATGGCCCATTTATCCCTTGTACATATATATATATATATATATATTATATAATGCATATATAACATGTACGTATACACATATGTACATATATGTATATGTATATATATCGGCGGCGTTCTTCATGAAAACCCTATAAGAAAGACATGATCCTTAACGAGTTCCTAAAGCGAGCAGAACTCACTGGACTACTTTTGCACGCGACAGGGAAAAATAAAAGATTCACTGGCGCCCGCTCGAGTCACTCGAAGATCAACGAAACTACAGGTGATACAGGTGATACAGGTGACATCCAGCTCCTGAAGCACACCTCAGCACATCTCACGAATATCCTCTGAAGTTACCGCGTTTTGCACTGTATCGAATGACCATGCTATACACTCCATCCGCTAACACCTTATGTAACGCGGAAGAGGAATAAACACGTATAGCATCTCGAATCAGCACCTCATGGCCCTCTTAAATAAGCGCCAGCGCTGCTCAATTTTTAGATAGCACTAAACCCTGCTTTTGCGCTCATGTCTAATGTTAAAGCCCCTTACTCGACCTCCGACCACTACTCCATTGCAGGTATTTCGATGACTGTGTTGTCATCTGATCAACAAAAAAAAAGCATGGACTAATGTTCTGACTCTGCATCTGAAACGAACAGGGAGAGCACATAAATTTCATCCGGGAGGGATTGAGAAAAGATTGGCTTTCATTCTTGAACGTTCAAATCAACCTGTTCAAAAACGGTTACATCACCAACAGGAACTGAAAACTAAGTAATGAAAACATGCTGGTTCACTACCTCTGAGAAACATGTTTCGAATAGCCACCAACGTGTGCACAGAAGAACAGCAGAAGGGAATCCTAGGATATGACGCGAAAAATAGCCATTTCTAATTGATATGAAACGGTAGCTACTCGCAGTAGGTGTAGAGGAAAAATAACGCCCCAAACGGATAAGTCTAGTGAAAACAGGGTATCGTTTATCCTGTCCTTCATTTTCAACAAAAGAAGTACAGCCATAAAAAACTGCTTAGAATGCGTCGGGGTAAAAAAATCGGAAGCACTGACTGAAAAACACTAAGACACCAGCTAGTATGTAACTGTTTGTGTGACTACCTAGGTGAAAAACACAATGCAAAACTTGCTCTAACTGTAGATACGGTGACTGCGTGAGTTCAGATACTGACTACCTGATCTTTTTTTAAAAGTATGGGTGCGAATGTGCACCATTTACTCTTAGATCAATCGAGCACACTCTCTTCTACAGTTCTGTCAAGTTACCAATCTTCTAAGTCTTTCAATTATCGAAGAAATACAGCCTTCTGTCAGAAAACCAGCAAGTTTGTAATGACCCTAAATTAGGCGTTCCCCGCGACAGCAACGCGCAAACAAGTCCGAGCGTTAAGGGTTAGTGGTAGTGAATCCTGCTCCATAAACCAAGTTATCAGAAATCTGGTGGCTAGAACATAGGATGTATTTTGCATTAGTGACAACCGCACGACAACTGTTGTTAGTTCGTGGGTGTTACGAGATGTCAAGGCCAAGGTCACCACAGAAAAACCACAGGCGGTTCACACTACTCCGGAAGCAACACGGCAACTCTAGCAATGATGAACTGAACTGGCATCTCCTGGAGCTATTCGACTGTTCATAGAAGGAAAGGTAATTGAAAAATGAACACCAAACACCAGCATTCAATGTAGTCGCTTTTTATTCACTCCGTATTATGGCAGGGTATTATGTGCGATACAACCACAATGACGTCTGCGGTGGCGATCGAACCCGCCATCACCCTTTATTGGGGAGGGGAGGGAACTAACGTGTTCATCAGCACACGACTATTCAATCGATCATACAATTAGCATTCAATCGATTATGGACTCTAATGTCACCACAAAACAGTAAGAAGCTTTTGGCTAAGAAGATGTTCCACTTACTTTGTGAGCTTGCTCTCATTAACTGATGAAGTCGCCTCCATAATCACATTGCTAAGATCAGCAAATAAGGTCTTCGAAGACAGAACGATAACATCTGGGGATTCCGTTGACGGCATATCTTAAATCAATAAAAGTTGACAATCACAAAGCAAAATATCACTTATGAACTTCTTTCCCATTTTCGTTTATAGTGGGTAGAAGGCTCATCCTAAGCGGATTTTCATGTTTCCCACTTGACATCCCACTACGGTCTACTGGCATGTCAAGTGGAAACCGCCGAAATCCGCTTTGATTGAGCCCTCGTCCCACAGTAAACAAAAATGAGAAAGAAGATGCCATTAACGAGGAAGAAACCTTGATGAAGTATCACCAACGAACGTTAAGAACCGAGAGAATTCACGTAACACACTGCACACCACCATTCATAATAAATGCAACATTTAAATGTGTTAAGAGAGCTGGATCGAAGTAAAGTCAACTCCACAAGGATTTTTAAGTCTATCAGCTCCCCAAGTAATACAGTTCTACGAGTAATACAGCTAAAAAACCATTACAAATTATGCAAATCCCTGCAGATGTTCAAACATCGCCAAGCAGCGCCGCGTACACTGTTCGCGCGCCAATTTTGATTTCACCACACTTCATGCTGCGACGGATATCACAGTGGTAGTGATGCCGCTCGTCGAGAGCATGTTACCGTTTCGATGCTGAACCAGGCTCACCAAGCCTCTAATCCTTTCGTGGTCGGAAAACTGGTGCCGGACTTTGTGAAAAGTTCACTTTCTGCAATCCTAGTGGGTGATGTTCTAGCGGGACTATCTCAGTACTACTAAGAGAATCGATTCGACCAAAATTTCACGACATTCAAGATAGAATGAAAACCCTCAAGCAGCAGCCGAAGCCACATGTGGAAGTTGGAATACCCTCGTGGAAAATGGATGCGAGGAAACGAATCGAATGTGAGAACTGCTTGGATCGGCACAGTTGATGGTAAGACGGTCGAATGAAATAGATTAAAAAAATAACACTCCAAGTTTGCAATGATAAGGATCATATGTGACTCATACGTGCCAGAAATTACCACCACTAACATCCATCTATCATAATAGGCTAGTAGAAAAATAAGGATATGGACAACTTTCCTATAACGATCTTTAGTTTCCAGTTATTCAAATCTCACGGGGAATATATCGTTCAGAGGGCTCTAGTCTCTCAGTTCCACGAAATTCATAGTCAGATAAGTCTTTTAGGTTGTGCCTAGTCACGTCCTCCCCACTACTACCGGACGTCTTTTAGGGGTATAGTAGTTGTAACTCAATTCGGCACCGTACACCATGTACAGTATCTGTTCTTGTGTAAGCATTTAACCTCGTGTTTATGTTCTGAGACTTCTAATGGGCCTGTATACCTTCTCAAAATCAATACACATTGTTCCTGCTTTCTTTCATTAACAAGCTATAGCTTGTCAACTTATCAGCGAAACGACATATTGATTAGTTATCCCGATTTTAAAAGATTGGTTCTTGAAATACGTCGCACAGTCCTCTACTCCTTCAACGGTATTTGATATCTGTACATATTCCTTATAAAGCACCTTTTGTAATGTTGTGAAATTTGTCGAGATAGCTAAGCATTCTAATATTCTAAGTAGAAAAGGAGAAAACTCCCGACGTTGACCAATCCCTGAACGATGAGCCATGCATTCGACTTTATCAAGAGTCTTCGAAGGTGATTGGAGGCATATCCGGCTTTAACTATGACTCGCAGTGTCCTACCGATGCATCAATTTAGTGTTGTCATCCTCTCAGACAAGTCTGTTACCAATTCGCCGATCCCGGAGAGATGGAAGGCTTGGTGGGCCCAAGGTGCGGGATCAATCCCATGTATATTTCAGGGCGCTTCCTACCGCTGCACTACACGCGCCCTTTTCGGGCCCTAAATATTTGAAGCACAACTCCTTTACTCAAATTCTGATGTTCGAACATTTTTGGAAGTGGTAAGCAATATCCTCGGTTTTATTATGACACCGAATACCGTTGTTGATCCTATGGTCGAGAAACGGACATGTTTTCCATGACGAAAATTAAACATTCTTGCTTCTCAAGGTAGTATTTTCAAACCTGTTTCCTGTAATTCTATGTGGACTCTCAACTGAGGTTGTACTTCACCCATGAAATGAACGACCGTAACGGATTCAATAAATGAACGATTCAATCCTATTACAACCATTGTAAGAAAATAGTGGATGTTTTGCTAATATGTGTTACACCTAAAGAGTAAAAACAAAACCCATTCTTCAGATGCCACGGTGAACTGATAACTATCCGTAGCTCAATATGTGGAGATAAGAGGATCCGAGATTTGGCCATTGCTGATCTTGGAAAACTGGCTCATCCACCATTCCGAGATCACCATGCTAATTTGAAAAATCACCTCAAAGGAATCAAGGTCGGGATTTTCCACGCAACACTTTCACTTTTCCTACACGCCGCTGATAAAATGACCTGCGACTTCTGAAATTCTCAGAAAACGACGACAATTTATCACCAAGAACAACACTAGTGGAACATTCTCCTTGAAGCACAATAGCAATGAAATAAGTAGTACAATAAATGAAATTATGACTAATTGGAAAGAAAGAAAACAAATGCGAATACAGAAAACAAAACGGAAAAGATCCTTCTTGAGTAATCAAAACAGCACAATAAGAGAATATACACAAGCTGAAAATGCAGAGTCACATGATGACCAACCAGATCTTCATACATCACAAGTGATTAGCAAATACTGATAAGGCGTAGGACTATCTACATTTGTTACACTTTGTATCAGGCTGGTTTCTGGATGAAATTGACAATAACACGATGCAGGAATTTCTGGAATGAGTTGGCGTTGCGTTTACCGCCATGATAAAAGTGAGTAGTTCACTGGAACATGTCTGATTAGAGTTAGTACGAATACACATAACAGAAGTTGTTAATTTTGACATTGCAAATAAAAATAAAATAGTGAAAAATTAAAAGGATAAAGCACTCAGAGTTGATCAAACTCTGAAGGATGAACCATGTATTCGATTTCACTAAGCATCGTTGGAGGTGATTGAGAGCATATCTGGCCTTTACAATGTCTCGCAATGACCTACCGATGTATCAATTTAGTGCTGCTAACCTTCCAGACAAGTCTGGTAACAATTTGTCGACAAAAGAGGGACGGAAGACTTGTTGGACCTTGAGCGCGGGTATCGATCCCATGTGTATTGCAGGACGCCTCCGACTACTGCACTACGCTGGTCCAGTTCTGACTCACATTCGCCTTGTTCGAATATCCGAACAAATATGACTTCTCCTCTACATTTCGTGTCTCGTTTCGACATAGATGAATACCGTAGCAAGAAAAAACTAAAGAACTTTATGTACTTATAGGACGAAATGACTTAAAAGTGCTCCCAAAAGCCATCGTAAAAGAGCTTAGTGATACTGCGTAGTAGTAGAATTCCAAGTAAATGCAATAAAACGGAAAGACACAGCTAGTAAAAATTGTATTGCATACCACTTTTCGTGATTTCTATACCACCACATTTCATGTTCAATACAACAAACTCAGAAAAATGTCACTCCGAAGCAGATTTCCAGCATTTCTTCCATTTTCTTCTGCTGTTCTGGTGAAATGCTACAAAATATGCAGTTGAAATGCTTACACGAACAATAAAGTAGTAAGAACCACTGATGAGGGAAAAGCATAGTAATGAATTTATTGAGGATTAAATAAGGCTGAGATAACATACGGAAGTTTGACCAGAACCGCGTCACGCTTCTTTGCAACTCCAGCGTGTGTTCGAATATGTTTGATAATGTTCTGTTTATTATGATTGTTTAAATGGCAAATCGAACAGCCGTACCTGCAATTCATTTTATAATTGGCAAGCGGTTATGTGTATATATATCTTTTCAGCTAAAAACTTTATTTCTTGAAAAACCTCCGGTATATACATACACACATATGTGTATATATAAACATATACATATATATATATATATATGTATATATATAGTGGGGCGTGCAGCGTATTTATTTGAGGCGCCCTGCAATATACATGGCATTGATCCAGTGCCCCAGGCTACCAAGCCCTCCATTCCTTCGGGGTCGGCAAATTGGCACCAGACTTCTCTGGGAAGATAACAGCACTGGCTCGATACATCGATCGGCCACCGCGAGTCATTGTAAAGATCAGGTATGCATTCAATCACCCATAACGATCTAACGAAGTTGAATACATGGCGCATCCCTCAAGTATTGATCAACGCCGAGAGCTTTATCTTTTCTATTAACTTTATGAACTGATTTTGTTTAGCTGACGCAAGTGGTCTCCATTCCATCCAGAGTCCCACTCGCAAGAACACGGCTCCGAAGGCAAAATAGCCGAAACGTCACCAATCGACCAACAAAAACAAGAACAACAACGACACCTTATCCCAACCTCGCATCAGCTCAACAAGGTCAGCTAAGAAGAGCATATACTAACTTGACACTTCATACTTGAATGGCGCGTCCTCACTGACTGTGCGGAGCCCAGGATAATCTCTATTTTTCGAAGAGTTGCTGATTAAACCATTATGGTTCCCTGGAGTCCGGAGGTGAGTCTGGCCAAAGTCTGCCCCAGGTCTTTCCTCCCAAGGGTTTACCGCCTCATCGTGGATAGGAGGTCTTCCTGCGTGTCGGACTGCGATGTACAGCGGGGGTTTCGTCTCCCGGCAGGGTCTCCCAAGCTGAGGAGTCCGGCGCTTCCATCAGGAACCTAGCTAAGACTAAACCAATATCAGGATCCATCCCTGTCCTGGTATCGAAGTCGCATGGTGGTAAATCTCCCTCTGATCCACAAAGGCTGCAACTGCCCGTGGTGGTGACGACCTGGGGCAGACTTTGGCCAGGCTCATAATCAGCAAATCCCCGAAAAATGGAGATTATGCTGGGACCCCCACAACCAGTGAGGACGGGCCATTGCAGTACGAAGCGTCAAGTTAGTATATGCTCTTCTTAGCTGATCTTGTTGAGCTGATACGAGGTTGGTCTTGTTTTCATTGGTCGATTGGTGACGTTTCGGCTATTTTGCCTTCGGAGCCGTGTGCTTGCGAGTGGGACTCTGGATGGAATGGAGACCACTTGCGTCAGCTAAACAAGATCAGTTCATAAAATAAATAGAAAGGATAAAGCTCTCGGCGCTGATCAATACTTGAGGGATGCGCTATGCATTCGACCTCGCTAAGGATCGTTAGAGGTGATTGAATCTGTGCCGATTTTGCACATACTTTTTGCATTTATGAGGAGTATTCACGCATGCGTGTGTGGTGGGTGCGTTCTTGCTTATGCGGATTGTATTCTACGAGTCAATTCTGCCAAAAGGCTGCAATCAAGTTACATGGAAATATACGGGAGGCAGTTAGTAGTCACCTCCAACAAACAGCCTCCATGTCCACTCTCGGATAGCCTGGCAAGCAACCCATGAGTATACCCAGCCTCCATGTTCAGAGCCCAGCAAGTTATACGTGGGTATCAAAATACTAAACACAGTAAAAGAAACGGGCTTCATTTCCCTGAGCCCGAGAGCCCCTAATTTCGCAGCGTTGGGTAGGACGAATACCGAGAGGCTGCTAAAATCTCAGGATCAATGGAAGCTGCCTGGATTACAAAGAACTATGGTGACGAGCTGTACCTACAATGCACGCACACTTGCATCCGGGTCTTCGACAGAAGATTTGACCATTCAACCGAGGAGGATAAGGCACGGCGTCATCGGCCTGGTCGAAATGACACGACGCCACCCATTCAACGACGTCTATGACATCGAAAAAGAACTGTTCCTCGGAACACGCGACAGTAGAGGAGTCGGCGGCGTCAGCGTTCCCGTCAGCACGAGTTTGTCCATGAACATCGATTCATTCGAACAATTAACAACGCGAATCGGACGCTTACAATTAAAAAGATGTGGATCAATGCCGGCTTTGACAATTCTCGTTTACGCGCCGACGTCAAACTATGAGGAAGAATAATTCGAAGCATTGGGGAAGTTCCACAGAGAAGACTGTACATTCTTCAAGGACATCATTGAAGATTTTGACACTAAGATTAGATCAAGAAGAACGTCAAATGGAGACCCACAAATCAGAATAAAACGAGTACCGTGAACAGCTCTCTGAGTCTATCATGACGACCAAGACCATCCATGGTAACTCAGCATTACAAAAGCCCCAACATCAACGTTGCACACGCGAGTCTACCAGTGGAAAGTACCCTAACGAAATACACCACATCATAGTAAACCGACGGTTTTGCCTAACCGATGTAGCTGTTGTCCTAAAATTCTACATGGGATCAGATCACCACCACCTTCGTGTAAGATTCTCTTTCTCGCAGAAAGGAGAAAAAGCAGCTACATTCAAAAAACGAAGTCCCAAGCCACTATAAACTGGGACTTATTCAACTCATTAGTCGGCTGTCGGGAAGATGCCGTTGTCGACAACATCGACGAAGAATACGACCGGCTCATTCAGCATCATCACGCTAGCTATGAAAGCCGTAAGTTCGAAAGTCACCAAGAGACGTCCGTCTCCAGAAACACTCGAACTGATACACCAACTTGGAATCGCACGAGCTCCACGCAAACGCGAACTAACGTCCGAGCTTGCAAAACAATGCAGACAGAGTATAAAAGATCTTAAAGAGAGAAGAGCAGAAGTAATGGCCGATACATCAAAGGCTGGGAAAAGCGTTCGCAAAGCCCACCGAAGTTTCGCCAATTACAGGAAAAAGATGATTGCACTCTGACGCCCAGACGGAACAGTTACAGCGTCTAGAAAGGCAATGGAGAAAATCATTCACGAATACTACTCGGATCTCTTCATTAGCCACGTCCACCTTCAATTTCACGAAGACCGCTTTGTCTCACTTTCATCGATTTAAAGAGGACCTTTGAAATAGAAGCAGTTTTGGAAGCCTTTGATAGTCAAGGAGTCCCTACTCAGTGCATAAAAATCCTTCGTGAGCTGCACAAAAATTTCACAACCAAGGTATCACCATTCTACAACGATATTAACATTGACGTCAAAAGAGGAGTTAGGCAAGGCGATACTATCTCGCCAAAATTACCTCCGCCCTCTAGAACGTCATGACATTGGAATGGGATAATTTGGAAGCGAAAATCGATGGTCGGCAGTTACATCATTTTGGCCTTGCTGATGACATAGTTCTTATAACACCAAACATTAGCCAAGCGGAACGTATTCTTGCCGACGTTGATAACGCCTGTGGAAAGATTTGTCTTCGACTAAATCTCACTAAAACGATGTTCATGAGGAACGACTGGTTTCGCATGACCCATTCATGCTCAACGGAGCGAAAATCTCCGAATACTCCAACTACGTCTATCTGGAACGGGAATTCACCATAATTAGCGACTTAACTGCATAGTTAAACAGGATAAAGCAAGTGCCTTTCAGGGGAGAGCACTAATGATTTAGCGAGGAAAATAATGAACATCCGACTCCGTGCCTGCCTTTCCGACTCAACGGTCCTTCCTGCCCTAACGTGTGCGTCAGAAACCTTGTCGCTGTGTAAACAGGAATGATCACTCAGCGTTATCGAACACGCAATCGAAAGGACGATGTTAGGTGTATCCTGTGTTACACAAGTAAGGGATGGGATCGGAAGCCCCCACCCGCGTCAACGATCAAAAATCAAAGATGCCGTTCTGTACGCCAAACAGTCAAAGATAAGGTGGGCCGGCACGTAATGCGTATGAATGACCACCGATGGACAAGAGCCGTTAGTGACTGGATTCCTCGGGATATTAAACACACTGTAGAAAGACCACTGATCCTGTGGTCAGAATTCTTCACAAAGAGCCTCGAAGATAGATATGATGCTCGACGACTCCCTAGAGCGAGCAGAACCCACTGGGCTACTTTTGCACGCGACAGGGAAAAATGGTAGATTTATTGGCGCCGGCTCGAGTCAATCAACGACCAACGGGACTACAGGTGATACTGGTGATGCACACCCTCCCAACCGTTTACCACCTTACCGTGGCTGGGAGGTGTTCTTGGGTGTCGGACTGCGACATACAGCGGAGGATTCATCCACTGGCAGGGTCTCCCAAGCTGAGAAAGGGTTCGGAATTTCCATGAGCAAGCCTAGCTAAGAGTAAACCTATACCAGAATCCATCACCGTCCTGGATGCAAAGTCGCATTGTGGCAAATCTCGTTCTGATCCACAAGGGCTGTGAATGCCTGTGGTGGTGAAGATCTGTGGAAGACTTTGTCCAGGGTGGCATCGTGATTTCTAGGAACCCAGCAAAACTCTGAAAAGTGGAGAATATGCTGGGCTCGCACAACTAGTGAGTACGGATCATTCAAGTATCAAGTATATACGTATGTGTACACATATGTCTATATATATACATATATATATATATATATATATATATATATATATATATATATATACTTGCCCATACAAAGGCTCAGTAATCGATGAAGACTCTTCTTTATCCTACCACCGACTATTAACCTCAGTACTGATCAAATAATTCTTCGTATTCTTGTCGAGCAAACGCGAGGTGTTGGTTTTATTTCTTATTCACGAATAAGACGACGTTTCGGCGAATTTCGCCTTCCTTAAACCCTGGAAAGGTCAAGTTGACAGCAATGTATTCGACCAAACACCTCGATAAACAAACAAAGAAAACGCTAACCCAAGATTTTAATCACATTGAACACCGTTTTGCACACTCACCGCTTTCTACGAGGTTTCCACTATGTCACGTAGAGACCAACCGCACAGAAATCACGTGGAAGTATAATGTGCCCCTCCCATTAAAATAGCAGGCTTATATATTGCTCAATATCACGCGTGATAGTGAGGCATTCTCCCCTGCGGCTCATTTGCGGATTTCTGGAATTAATCCAGAACACCTCGAGAGTTTTGTGCGCTTATGTTCTCGATTCCTGTGCGAAAATCATGACACGTACTTCAAAGTCCTCCCCGTTATGTCTCTGGATCCCATGCGTGCCTAGCGGGGTATTTGGTATATGTTTGCCGGCTAGGTGTTCTTTTATGCGGACACAGGTCTTCCCGTTTTGCCAAAGTATTCGTCTCCGCACCACGCCTTACAGGAGATCAGATAAACTGTACCCGATTTCATGCAATCACCGTCTCTACCATTGCGGTAAATTATTCAATTTTGCGTTGCACATAGACGGTCATATGGGCGGTTACGAACTAGCTGGCGCCTAAGATTACTCCGTGGCATTTCGACCACGTTTACTGGATTCTCTAGACCCACCCTTCTCAAGCGGTGTTTTACAGCTGCACTTACATCATTTGAGATGAAGAGTAGGATAAACGGAACCCTTTATCGCTAGAGTTGTCATTTGGAGGCCTAGGATTTCCCCTACACCTTTCCCGAGCTACAGTTTCGTAGCCATTAGAAATGGCTATTTGCCGCGCCGAGTGCCGGCGCTCCTCTCTCTGCTCTCTTCCCGTGCACACGTTGGTTGCTGTTCGAAACATGTTTCTCACAAGCGCCCTTTTCGTGTGAGAGGGGTGAGAGGAGAGCTTATAAACAAATATGTTTTTACTACCTGGTTTTCGACACCACTGCGTAATGTAGCCGTTTTCTGATAGGTTAATTTGTACGTTCAGAAATGGAAACCAGTTTTTTTCGGTTTCTCTCAGGTGAATTTAATATACTCTGACTGTTCTTTCAACAACTCGAAACATCTGTCAATTTCCTCTTGTGTTGAGCAAATGACAAAGCAGTCATCTATATATCTACAGTAGAGTAGCGGCTTGAGATCAATCACCGGTGCTTCCACCTTAGACATAAACGCAATGGCAAGACTTAATGCCGGTCGCTGTCCCATTGCCAACCCTCTTATTTGAGCGTAGTACTTTCCGGAGTATCTAATGATTGAGCAGCTCAAGCATTCTTTTAAGAGTACCATCAACTGCTCTGTCTTGAAGCCATACATGTTTATTTCTCCTTCGTGTTGTGTGAGGAGTTCGAATATGGTTTACATTGCGGAGTCATTCGACACGTTTGCATAAAGGGCGGTAACGTCGAAGGACTCCATCACGCACGCGCTGTTGGGCTGCGCAGTACGTAGACGATCCAGAAACATTTGGGTATTCGTAAGATAACCTGGAATGTGTTTCAACAACTGGTTAAATATTAGGGTTAAAAACCATGTTATCCTGTCCGTTGGCCCGTTTTCACAGCTAATGATAAGTCCAACCTTAAATAATGATGGATCGGTAGACGCAAGATCATCGCTGTATACTAACTTATGAGTTTTTATAAGCAAGTACAAGACGGGACATGTTGGTAATTCAACTTTTAGTTGAGAGATAACTGATGATTTTAAACCAGCAGCCTTTGCCATTTTGGCCCATTTGTGGTTCAATTTTCGGTATTTACTTTTAAATCTTTTCAGATGATGGGCGATAAAGCGCAGCATCTTCAAGATACTTTTTCGTTATCTCAACATCTAACTGATGAGGAATTACGACAAACTCTCCACCCTTATTACTAACGGATAGTCTTATGTTTTTCAACCTTATCAGCTCTGGTACCTCTCGCACACCACGTTTTTGCAATTCAGCGCACTTTTTTGCACTCTTCTTTATTTTTCTTGTATGTTTCTTTAGCAACCATTCTTTTGCAATGATGAACAATTTCAAATTAACGAGAGGTTCACTTAATGCATTCTTGCACTTTTTCAATTATATTCAATTATAATATAAAATTTAATTATAACAAATATTGAAAAATAGTAACTTTGCTAAAATAATTTCGAAAACTTCGACATAACGAATTTAAACTCGGACGTAGTACAGCACAGACGGCTTGAAACATCTATGGAATATTGAGCCACGGAAGTGTTAATGTAAGCACAGCGCATCGTTGGTTTCAAAATACACATATACATACATATAAAGTCGTGTATTATGTATACATATATGTACATATGTATATAAATATATATATATCCCGACAACACACTGTGCGGATCCTAGCACTTTTTCCCTTGTCTTATCCGATGTCTCGCATCCATCACCTGGTAAGGTTTATGGACGTGTATGAGAATGGCTTCCTATTACGGATTTGTTCCTCATGTATCTGAATGTTAGTCGTGTATATTCACTGGAATCCTTTGATACGTTAGGTAGTTGTGCTAGGACGTTTCCAGATGTTCATCACTAACAGTTGCTACCCTTCGTGGATCAGACAGAACAGCTCACAGTCAAGTCTGGCACCGATTTTCGGATGACGAAGGCAAGAAGGGCTTGGTTGGCCCAGGCTGGGTTTAATTGTTTAGTTGGCCAAATTAAATCGCCTAATCATTATTATGGACTTGAAATTAAAGTGGAAGTGAAAAGATAACTGAGTAACATAACTTACAGAGGATACTTTGTATGCCTGTTGTTGATATGACTTATCAAACTTCGTGGAGATACCATAATGCTCATTTCGCAAATCTAAATGCGAAGACAAACAAGTTAAGTAAAATTTCCAGGGAATACTCCCCATTGAAATCACAACGTCCTAACCTTTATTTACTGCCTGTTTTCTTTTCATGCAGAGTATGATTTGAAATACAACCACAAGGATGCTGAGATATGAACAAAACTCGGAACATCAGATGCGCTTCGAACCAGCGATTACCCTTACCATAGGCGCACCTGCCATTCATCACACCAATCGGGCCGTTGCTCTGCTCTTCTCTCATTCATGTTTTTCACTATCATCCATTGATCTAGTCCACTTGCAGGACTTCAAGCGGATTACTCGCATACTTACGTAAACATATGGTTTAAAAAACTATTAAAACTGGCCACACATTTGCATCTGGACGAAATTACCTGGAATCTCTATCTATAAGAATCCCGTGTCGACGCGGAAACAAAACGGAGAGTGCTTTGAGTCGCCTCCATTATTCCACTTCTACGTCAAAGAGAATCGCACAAGTTGCTCATTAGTACATTGGCTTCCAGATCTCGGCGAGCTATCCTTGCCTCCTCTCTCAGAAAAAATGATAATAAAATGTCTCCTCCGAAAAGTGTAACACCCTCGCTACCGCTCGATCGAAAGCAGAATACTAGGAAGCAATGGAGCATGTGTGAATGCAACTAGGCTTCGCACACTGGAGGCACTCGACGTTTAACGAATTTAAAGGTTATACAGGAGATTGTTAAATACGGACCTGCAGAAATCTGTAATTGGCAAGGAAAAAATTATATCATTTTATGAACTTAAGTCGACATAACAAGAGGGCGTTTGCAGCACAGTAGGTCATAGGCGCCATGCGATACTGATGGGATCGACCCAGTGCCCCAGGCTTCCAAGTCCTCCATCCCTTCGGGGTGGGCAAATCTGCACCAGATTTGTC